CCAGTAACTGGTAGTGCTGTAAGAGACCCATATCAATTATGTCAATGACCCACGAAAGATTATGAATACCAAACGTAAGAAACAGTGTAGTCTAAGGCTAAGGCTGAATGGTTTACGACGAACCGCTGAAAGAAGAAATTTGTCGAGAAGTTGGTAGCAGTCGCTCTGTGGTTGTTCAGAGGGTTATGCTGGCTTCTGTCATAATATCTGTCAGGAAACGCATTGTAGAACAACGACTAGCTATACAGAAGAGACAGCAAGTTAGAGCTCCATCAGCGTCGTCACCACGTGCTGTCTCCCATGCTTCCCGGCTGATCGGAGTTCAGAGTATATGTTTTAATGCGCTTTTTCGTGCTGGCATCATATCTTCTGGGTCGCCACCAAACTGTAGTCTTCAAATTTCTGAATTTCGATCTTAATGACAGATGCTTCTCGTAGTTCTCGAGCGTGATTGGGAATGGGGCTTATACCAGGAATTATACCAATGGATGACACCGGTCCAGATTACAGCTGTATGACTTCTACCGCTCTTCCCGTGACCTCAGATAATTTCAGATGGAAAGGTGTAAGGATGCCTAGAAGCGACAATGGAGGAAGCCGGAGCCACAGTTACTTGAGAATGGCCTCGTCGATTTGACATCCGAAACAAGTTGTCTCATGCGGCACAACACTGGCATAGGGTTACCATCATCTGGATGAACATTGCGAAATAGTTCCTGCACCCTATACTGGTTAGCCAGAGAAAGATTTTTACTGAGGGCCTGCTTAAGGTGGTCATAAGCATTATGCGCAGTCATGAAGCGTGTCTGATACTTCTTCCATAATGTTCTCTAGAAGAATGAAAATAACCAACTTGAACTAGGTTTCTTGTGAGTGAATTTGCCTCAGGACGAATTGAGATTAGACATAGACCAAACCAGGCTTGTGGTCTTTGCACCCAGATAGTAGGAATCTGTATAACCGCCATTTGAGCCGGGATTTTAATTTTTAGTCATTTATGAAATGTAGAACAATAAACGAAACAGTATGATCAGACACAGTAGGAAGTATAAAAATATAGAGGTATGCTACGGAGGTAAAAAAATCTTCCTTTATAACAGCTTGAAAGAAATGAGAAATAGTGGTACAAAAACAACACTGGGTATTAACAAACAAAGTGGCACTCGGGTTAACCAACTGCAAGAGGCTGGTTGTTTTATGATTGCGCAATACGACACCAACTCTACGTACATTATTCTGAGCTAGTACTAAATTAATCAGCACTCTGCCTACGTGTGAATGCTGATAAAAAGAGACAAATAAGAAAACACGTTTGAAGATAAAAAGCATTTAGACAAGCAGTTTGTTTATTAGTTTGAAGTAAAGCGTTATTCCAGGTGAAGACGTTAAACCTTATCTATCTATGGATGGCTGAACTATGAACTCTGAGTGTGAGTCTGTTTGTCGGTTCGAAGAAGACACGAAACGGCGAATGTCGACCGGTGGATGTGTACACGTTAAAGGAGACTTACATAACTGAAGGCACTAACCAATGTCGTAGAAGATTATTTAACTACTATTTAGCATTGAAAACGCATTGCCATTGGTTTGAAGTTCTTTAAATGTTTATTGAATAGATATTCAACTTGGATTACATGAGAACCTACAGATCCCCAGAATCGTCAGTGTTAGTTCTTTTGGTCTCCGAAGCTATAAGCATAAGAATCTATGGTAACGCGGCATTGCAAAGACAAATCAAACATGTCGACTGCTTGTGACGAAAATTTGGAATTTTGAGCGACCTTTGTGCCAGCACTAGTGAAAAAAGAAAGTATGACTGAAAACGATCTAGACTTTAATACTCTGTATATGCTGAAAAGTGATGTTTTCTTGTTCATTTCATAACTTATGGAATGTTCCGTATCATTCGGGTCCCGTAAGATCTTGTACATTTTCCAACATACATCAATGTAGTGATGCCTGTAAACTGGCTTCTCTTATGTTGAATTACTAATATGAGGATAAAATATTTATTTATTCAGGTATTTGCTATGGTTATTCATTCCTCTTGGTACCAAGGGGTAACTTATAGGCTATCCCCTACTAAAAGGTTGTTGGGACAGTTATCTTTCGAACCCTAAGGGGACATTGTGAGATGGGTAGGCAATACATTAACATATTAAGGATGAAGTATTTAACGTATAGGTCTCGGAAGATAGTGCAACTATCCACATCAGTGAGAGAACAGAAATTTGCATATAGACTAGATCCTTCCTACAGTAAAGACAAATGAATCAAAGCCTCCGTCTAAATTTCCTCCCTCAAGCTACAGGGGAAAATATAAAAGGGGGATAGATACAAGCAACAAGAGAGCGACTTAACTGGTTTCACACATGTCTAACTTTTATTCGATAATTTGTGTTTCAACTGGTCTGTAATGAAAAGAGCAGCGTTAACAAAGGATAACAGAAAAACTATGAAACAGGCACACATATACAGTGATTGAGAAAATTGAAAGAAAACTAGGCGGTTAGGTGATTCTTTTGCGTGCTTTTATCATATATATTATGTCAACAGCTGAATGAGGACACGTTGAAGCAAAACTTACGGAACTGCAGACATCTGCCAACCTTGTAGAAGATTACTTAGCTACTAATTAGATATATATAATAGTCATTTATTCTTCTTAGACTTATCACTATTTGGTGCACTTCAGGTGTACCCGTCAAGCAAAACGATGACCATCGATGTAAACCATCATGAATCGCAAAATCTTTGACTTTAATTCCATTCTATGATCGAAAAAAACCTCCTCTTTTGTGTGATTGGACTGAATGGTTGCGGGTTCCTGGTATATCTCATCAGCAATATTAACGGATTTTTCAAATGATCATCTCTATCATTCCTGTTTGCACAAATGTAGCAGATTGAAATCACCATTCGTCTAAACATAAATATACTAAGGGATATGATCTCAGGTTGAATAAGAAGGAATCTTTTCTACATCCTAGATCATCTTGACTGGTAGAAGCCAATAAGTAAGGAAATAAATTAGGGCGAACAAGAATGTAGGGAAGTAGCTTTATGATTGAGTTACCACTTGTGTACAGAAAGGAGGAATTCAAATCATGATTACCAATATAATCTGCTTAGTGAACATTACACATGATTTGCCTACTCTTCTTGTGGTGGCGATTGAATTTCTACCAGTGTAACCCTATGGTCAATATTTCTTCCAACATTTTCTAAAGTCTCATCGATAACCATAGGCTCTCTCCTATCAATATATTGGTAATGTTTATCCTGTACAGTCTTTTCATAGCGACAGATTTGTTATTTCTATTTAAGACTGTGAAGGGGTGATGATTAGTTTCTTGAAAATGTTGCTGAACTTCATCTCTGCTGACTGAACATGAGTGGAGTTGATAGATATCTGAACCAATTTGAGCAATGAGTGGATGACACCTATTATTTCGATATTTTCATTTTTCAGTAAATGAAAAACAAAGCCAGGCTGTTCTACTAGAATGTATAATACAGACATAACCTTGTTTTTCATTCCTTGGGAAATAAAAACACCATGATTGTGAGTGTAATTAGTCAGCTTGGGTTTGCTGCTTGGCACTCATCGTTGTTGTGGTCGTAAATTATTATTTTCCTCCGGATTCCTAGTAGAACAAAGGGCTTCAGTAACACGCCTCCATTGCACTCTGTTCTCTGCAGTCTTTTGAACCACACTGCACGACTGTTCAGGAGCTTTCATTTCTTCCTCGCATGATCTCCTTCATGTCACCATCGCCTCGGACGTCCAGCACGTCATTTCCCTTTTGGATTCCACTCGAGGGCCTGGTGCGTGATGTCCTCAATCGGCCTTCTGAGTGTATGTCTATTCCAATTCAATCCATCTCCACTTTCTTATGCATGTTTGTTGGGTGGCAGGTTCTTGGTTAGTTCGTTCCCAGAATTCCTTGTTGCTTATTCTTTCTGGCCATCTGATCTTCAGTATCAAGCCAGCGTAGGTGGCAGCTGTTGATGAATGTCTGTAGTTTGTTGGAAGCACGTTTCGTGACATGCCATGTTTCTGTACCATATAGAGGGACTGACTTGGTGTTGAAAATCCGGATCTTGTTCACGCTTTGTGCTGAGTGCAGTAGATCTCCACACTGATTTCAGATTAGTGAAAGTGGAGATGGACCTACCTGCTACATAATATTTTAATTATACCTCCTAGTATAATTTGCGTGAAATGCATCTCTGAGTAATGTGATGGAATGGAATAAAAAATTTCAGCTTCTTTTATTCCATTCTGTGGCTCAGACATATATTTGGTCATACTCCGCTTCCGCAGTCCAAGGCCTATTCCAACTACTTAATTCGATGAAGAACGTTTTCAAGAAACTAATCATCACCCCCTTCACAGTCTTAAATAGAAATGACAAATCTGTCGCTATGAAAAGACTGTACAGGATAAACATTACCAATATATTGATAGGAGAGAGCCTATAGTTATCGATGAGACTTTAGAAAATGTTGGAAGAAATATTGACCATAGGGTTACACTGGTAGAAATTCAATCGCCACCACAAGAAGAGTAGGCAAATCATGTGTAATGTTCACTAAGCAGATTATATTGGTAATCACAGGTGGTAGTTCAATCATTAAAGCTGCTTCCCTCAATGAGACCTATTGCTATCGGAGAAATTTAACTGTTATTTATATTAAAAATATTCACTTTACTTCAAATAATTTTGGGTACAATTATGTATATCAGTAATAGATAGTGGTTAGTAGTAGAATCCAGGAAGTGCGTTTCATCCCATTCGGGATTCATCAGTTGGATGCACCAGCCTCTCTCACTATCCATCATTAATTTCTGGTACAATTTGAAACTCTCAGAATGATATATTCCAACAACAACTGTGGTTCTCACTTTTACTTTTTCATATAACAGATGGATGTCTCGTCTCAAGCTGCTTTCATCATATCATGACAAGGGTGTATGGATATGAAGCAGACTTCTCTTAGAACTAACAGTTTATTAGTTTTTTCAAGATTCTACAATAAATGTTTTTCTTTACCAATAATCAAGTAACATTAAGAAACAGTAATTAACTTTACAGAAACTGGTTACGAATACCAAGTATAAGCCATACTCTGGCTCTGCGAAGAGAAACAACAACATTCGTTTATGATCGCGATATGATCCTTGGAATAGCAGAGTTGACACATACACGTAAAGAATTCTATTCAGCAAAATTGTTTACCATTGAAACAATAGAATAAACAGGTCATGAATACATTACAGACAAATACACCTACGCTATCATCAATAGTAGGCGTACAATAACCTTCTAATTTAAAAACCAGCTTCTTCATTTTCTACTTCGATTCCCACTGATATATAACATTATCAGTATTTTATGATAAAAGGAGATATAAATGAGTTATTCAAAGGAATAGAAAAGAGAAAAAAAAAACACAACTATATTTGAATGAATAATGGCAACCCTAGAATGGCAAAGCTGTTGTATTGTGTAAAAGTACTTTTACACTCACACTCACACACACACACATGCACACATAATGACCACAATCTTGAGTGACAATATTTATCCACTCAAAGAACAACACACCGGATGAATTCAAGTCAAAGATTATATCATTGTAAGAGGGTTCATAATTAACTAGAAGAAAATATAATTTACAAAGAACAATTTTCCATGTTCATCAATCCCTTGAACAATGCCGTTTACTGTTATTATTATTATTATTATTATTATTATGTGTACTATTCATATGAACAGTTTGAGTACCAATATAGGTAGTTTTATAATGTAATGACAACAATGAAATGCTTTACAATAAAATTGATTAATTAACTAATCACAATAGGCAGATTTTTAAAAAATATTATTCCAGATCTCTTCTAAACAAAAGGTGAATTGAATAGTGAAGATGTATTTGAAGTACACGAAGATGTGGAGAATGAACTTGATGATGATGAACTATTTGATGTCGATGATGAAGAAGATGATGATGTTGAAGATGAGCATGAAGAAATACTGCTCTCTGAATCTGATGATGATGACGAAGAACAATTAAGTTCTTTCGCTAAGAAACTAGTTATTCTTGAAGGCATACCATCTTCATCATCTGAACTGTTCTCATTCGATCCTTCATCACGATCTCTTGACGCTAAAGTTTCTTCACTTCTGCCTACTACAGGACTGTTATAATCGTTATTATTATTATTATTGTTACTAGTGTTATTACTATTATTATTTCGCAAACGACGACGTCCAAGCATAAGAACTGATCGAACAATTCCAATACCTCCTTGTGAATTGTTCGATTCACTGGAACTATTGCTAGTGTTACTACTGCTTGAATCTGATTCATCATCGTCTTCATTATCATTATCGTTGTTATTGTGTAAACCACCTCTTCTACGACCTCGTATTTCAGTAATTGACTGGATTGCTGACAGAATCTGTAATTCAATTAGAATATAAGAAACGTCTGCATATTTATATGTATATATATAAAACATGATCAAACATCTTGGTAGTAAGACAAAAGATTAGAGACAAAAATATCAGGTATACCAAAGGACACCTTACTCATTGATAATTACTCCTCGACTTCAACCAAACAATAGACTGATTTATAATACTAACATAAAAATATGAGTAGTAATGGTAAAAAATACATAAATCAAGGTACTATAGTAATTATGAATAGCGGATAGTAGTAGAATTCAAAAAGCGTGTTTCGTCCAAATGACGGTTCGTCAGCTGATCGACCAAATCCATCAAATCAACGACATAAAATTACAAACAATGATACAGAAAATATATTCTTTGCATAAACGGTCATAATCATGACCCAGTGGATAACATTCAGGCGGTGTTCGAAGCGATTGTGCCTGAGTTCGTGTCCTAGTGGGAACAAAATCACCACACTGAGAGGCAAGTACGTTCACCTGACAAACTGCAAATGGGAGGAAACATGTGTTCTAGATTGCACTACTAATAATTATCCCCCTGTAGTATCCAGCTGAAAGTGTAGACAATACCGAGATATCCAAGCAGGAGAAACCGATGTCAATTCGGTCCAGGCAACAATGGGAAATTACAAGCAACAACATTTAAAAAAAATCGGTCAAAGTAGTCAATCAGGGTCAATTAGGCTGTCGAAACACAAACATTCAGCTAACTCATGATGGGTAGGTCCAAGTTTAGTAAAGAATAAAAAGAAAAGCTCTGCTATACCTATGCATGCTATAACCCAAAACAACACAAAAGGATATAGGTAAGACCGACAGTTAGATTTGGATTGAGATGAGAAGTCCTGACTATGCAGCCAATATGAGTACGATCGAGCAATAGTAACACATCATGAATTCACATGGTAGTCGGACAAAACTCTTGGTGATTGAAGTGAAATAAAATTCTGGTCAGCAGCTCAGTTGGTAGAGCACCGGGCCGGTGACCTGGTGGTCACTGGTTCGAACCCAGTCGCGGTCCAGATTTTCATCTCATTCTCAATCATCACTCAGTTAAAATACTAGTCTGTCAAACTAAGGCTACTACTTGATGACCTTCCCAGCACAAATTATTATCCCTCGTAATCATATCGATGGAATTACACTCCTTTTAATAACCAATTTCTATAGTCTTGTCACGTCACATTCTTTGTTTTGATTGGCAGTAAAATTTTCTATATCTCTGGTATAAATATTGCGTCATTCCTACTATTATTTCGTTTCTTATATGTTCGTAGGAATTAATAATTATCCTCTATAGTAAACTGTAAATGTATCATCCATATATCGGAACATATGAATTCTACTGACGAAATATACCCATTTATTCATTAACAAGAACAAGGCATGTATCAGCAAAGAAGAAGCATTTCTTTTCAAAGAATTCATTATCAAGCTGTACAGTAGTATTTATACTCGGTAAAGTGACAGATAATTGAACTAAAAAGGGAGTTGCTCAGTCAATATGTAAAATATACAATCGGTGTAGGTGGTGGTATTTGTTCAAGTGGAACAGATAGAAAATGGGTTATTGAATAAGGAGGGACGAATGGATAACAAGTGGTGAGATAAGCGACAAGTGCTGTCAAAGAATTGTAAAGTGGTGATAATTAAGCTGAAACATGAATTCACAGAATATATAGAGTAACAGATCACAGTAAGATTAATAATCTAGATGAAAAAATCTCAGCTGTTGTAATGCATTCATTAACACACAACCCATACAATAAGTTGGGTGAGATAAGACCATTGTACTGAAGTTGAATATAATTAGGTAGGTAGGTAGGTAGGTAGGTAGGTAGGTAGGTAGGTAGGTAGGTAGGTAGGTAGGTAGGTAGGTAGGTAGGTAGGTAGGTAGGTAGGTAGGTAGAGAGGGAGAGGGAGGGAGAGAGAATGAATACTGAAATTTTGTTCATCGAATCAGCCAACACCCACCTAATACCAGAGATATGGAAAACGTTACTACCAACAGGAACAAAGAATAAGACACGGGTGATAGGACTATAAAAATTAGATATCGAAAATGCTGTGTGATTACACATTGATATTGATTATGAGCAATGATAATTTATGCTCGAAACGTCGTCCAGTAAATAATACTGTATCATTGTGCCCCATGTATCAAATAAGCAAATATAATATGAAATTATATTCTACCACAGTGCCCAACTTTTACTAACTTAGTGAAAGAAGTCATTGTTAACCGGATCTTTATTGATTGGATCAACAATGAATGTCTGCAAAAAAGGAAGGAATCAATATCGATTTCCGATCTATGGAAAGTCTTACTATCTATCTATGTGACACAAAAAAGCGACTGATTGATAACACTTTGGAAAATAAATTGTGCTTGGAATGGCTACCCAGTGAATTATACTGTTTCGCTAAGTGATACAACTACTTAGTGAACAAACTGAAATGTACGTATATTGATCTTAGTGATTAGCAGAAGAATCCAGGATGTGCATCTCATCCTATTTAGGAGTGATGTTGTTCCTACCAAGGCTCAAACCCAGTACCCTTCGCTTCAAACGCCAAACGCGTTATCCACTGAGCCACTGGAGCACGATAGCCACCTCTTATGCTACGGGTATCAATTATTGTAATGATATTGCCGAGAGGTGGCTAATGTGCCCCAGTGGATAACGCGTTCAGCATTTCAGCCTCAGTGGGGACAACACTACCCCACACTGGGGTGCACGTTTCGACATATTTGTGATTTTTGTGGGAGTTGTGGAGATTTGGAAATATTTCAAGTTGTTATTCATTGTAGACTGACATCAGTTGGAGGAACAAAGGAAACCTGGGAGCACTGGACAGCTGTTTCGTCACAGTATGGGACTCCTCAGCAGTGCGCACCCACGACCCTGCCCTCCCCGGATCGAACCCGTGACCTTCAGGTTCCGCGGCCAGCACTTTACCATTGAGCCACTGGGTCAGAATCTAATCGTCCATATTTCCAACTGCTGTTAGCTCACGATATAGCGCAACTGCCACCCAATGTCATCGTTGAGTAACTGTCTTCACGACCATCAGGCTTTGACTCCACCGGTCACCACTTTTCATTGGAACTTCGGGAATACTTCTCGAAGCTAGTCACCAATGAGAACCAGTTCGATTGAATTTTGAAGTTGTGGAGATTTGGAAACATTTCAAGTTGTTATTCATCGTAGACTGTCCAGTGCTCCCAGGTTTTCTTTGTTCCTCCAACTTATGTCAGTCTACGATGAATAACAACTTGAAATATTTCCAAATCTCCAAACTCCCTCAAAAATCACAAATATGTCGAAACGTGAGTCCTAGATTCCTCTGCTAGTCACTAAGATCAATATAACATCATGAATATCTAGGAGTATCGAGGCATCCGCATAGGAGCTTATCTGCCAAGAGAAGTCGAGCAATTCAGCCCTGTATAGTAACGGGAACTTAAAAGTATCATTGAGAAATCTGAAATGGAATTACATTCTAATATAATGCCTTAGTTATACCGACATACTGATAGAAAAAAGGGGCTAGTATGATAAATGGGAGAATTTCACCAGTTGGTAGAGCTTCCACTTGAGAACAGCTTTTCTTCTCATCTGAATGCTTACGGTGGAACATCTTGCCGCAAAGCGTTAGATACAGACCACTCATCAAGAAACAAACAGTAAAATGCTGCGAATAATGTTATCAGATGGAGACAACAAATTTCAAGTCAACCTTATTTGTCCATGAATGAATGAGAAAGCCTAAACAGAGTAGGATAGAATAGCAGATTCTTTGAATCCATTAAGAAGAAGCCTCATTGAAACTATGATATTCAATATTCAACCAATCGATTGCAGTTACAAGAACACCTTTTACATCGAAGACATTTCGTGTAGTCATGTCTTATTGTCATGTTGGATGGATCGGATGGTTACTGCCGTCACTGGACTACTACAATCTCTCAATTTTGAAGGATTTAACAATTTATCACGTACGATTTTAGGCAGCTGCGTCTCCGGATACAAGAGCATTTACAAACTTGGTTTGCAAAAGGGTGAAGTGAAACTGATGAAAAGTCCTAGCACATACAGTTGATACACAGCATCACATAAATGTTAATAAAGCTTTCAATCTTGTTCCGAAAACAAGACCCCGTGTAGCTCGTCAATGACTGCTCAACTTATCGGAGACTGTTGCGATAAGATCGACCAAGCCTGAACAATATATTGAGAAAGAACATGTTCAATCGTTACTTCTCCCTTGGCTTTCAGTTAACTAAAGGTCACTCATGCCATCTTATTCGTTATCTTTATGTTCACTATCATATCACTCATCTGTATATGTATCACCTCAATATTGACTCATTTAAAAAAGATGAATCCATTTCCTTACAATCCCTAGATCTCACTCAATTTTGGAAATGTATCTGCCTCTAACGTGGATTGTTTTTACACTGTACAACTACGTTTTATAATTGTAAAACCTCAAGAGAATATTTATTGAAAAGAATATTCTTCGTTCAGGTTGTTATTTTTAAAAAAATAAATTTATCATTAAATTAGAGAAAATTAAAACTTGTATTTCATTTAAACATCTTTTGCAGACAGTTAAACAGATCACCACAGAATCTTGCACTGCTGAAGTGCATCACCACTTAAAGTGACTAGATTGAGTGACAGTATAAAAACATAATGGAGTGAAAAATGTGTTCACATGGATTCGTTCTCCCCCCCCCCCGCTCACAAAAGCTTTCCTTGAGTACAGAAAAAAGGATAATATGTGAATGGATCTGTACCATTCGGATAGATTCTGAGACATATTACTTAGAGTCATTAACTACCGGTTTCGATGGTCACCTCTTGACCCCTAACTGTGAGGTGAGGATGTATCCGTAAACGCGGGCATACTATAAGTGATGATTTCCTACTATTTCCTAAACACTTGATATATTATACTTGAATACGAATATCACATAAACATGTTTAAGTTACTCCTCCTCTCGCCCCCTAACACGATATCGTAGGATGAAGTCGTAAATGACGCTTGACCAATATGTTAGACTGTAGTTCCACGTTAGTTTGTGTATTACATGTCAGACAGAAAAAATCAACGTAGAACTTCGCATACAAATGCATCAATTAAATTTGCTACACTTCAAAGTAGAATACAAAGAACAAGTGGATAAGAAAGACTGATATCAAAGTAGACAAAGTTGTGTAAGATAAAGGAAGATGTCAAGGAGTTAATGTATTTGAGGCATTGTGACCAATTTTCAGACACATTAGCAAGAGTCTTCAATCATTAATTCCTATAGTCTTGGAGACCCCAAACTAGACAGTCCACATCTCCCAACTGGGCTCAGATCAACAGGCAAAGACCTCATAGTGTCTCGTCTTGGTCTGACCACTCACATCCCTCTTCTAACTTAAGTCAGAATCTCCTAAGTATAGGACGTCAAGGTATGCGATGGATTGGCAAGCTCAGAACATGTCCAAACCGCTTCAATCAATGGACGTTCACAAATTCATTCATCGAATTAACTTTCTTGCTTACTATACCTCGCCTAAACTCAACAATGCTAACATGGTGACTCTAGCATATACAAGGAATATTTCGAAGACATCTATCAAAAACGTGTAACCGCTTCTTACTTTCTACTTTCGACGACCACATCTCACAGTAGAACAAAAAGACAAAACGGTCTGCAGCGCACAACACTCATCTTTTAAAAGACAGTCCGATATCTCGCCACTCGGAGTTATTATTGACACATGTTGGAAAATGCTAAACGGACCTTCTGTATCCCAGCTTAGATTTTGTCAGCAACTAGCCCGTTCGGTGGGCTGATGCAACTCCCCAAGTAAGCGAAGTGGTTGACATATTCCACCACTTCAACCATTATCATTATACTGGAAGTATTTGCAGCAGATCAGTCCTGGAGCATTATTTTCATTTTGAAAGGTGCGAAACGCATGCCAAACACATACAGATTTCTGTTCACCGCGTTCAGAAGATCCTGTATTTTGTCAGTGTCTTCACCTAACAGAACGATATAATTTGCATACTACAAGTTAAGCACATAACCTCGAGGGAGTAGATCAATCTCTGTGATGTCAGAAGTGCCTAACGTTATGCCTATTAAAATGTCTATGACAAGGTCAAAAAGGAACGGTGGCAGTGCGTATTCCTGTCGGACACCAAAAATTGGTTGAGGGCCAGTTGATATGTGCTTCAAAGCGTTCCACCCAACCTTTTAGCCTCCTGTCCTGAGAGGTTATCGGTGTTCCATCTGTTTCGGTGATGGTTTCGCAAACCGTCGTTTATTCTTACCGATATCCTGAATAAGCCTAAATAGCTGCCGAGTGTTACCTAACGCTGATGCCTTCTCAAGCTCTCGCCGCCCACCACTATTCGAAATCATTGTGAAGACTCTTGGTCAATTTACGTCTAAGTTTTGTTTGCTCTTCATCGTGGTCACAGCCAGCCAGTTGAAATCAGTCTTTTCGTATCAACCAGCCTGGATAACGCTGCGAAAATGCAACAGTTTGCCAACCTTTGGGTATAGGGTGTAGTTATACAATTTATTCTCCTAATCCCAACCAAAAAAGCGACGTTTGATTGGTGTCCATCCTTCTATCTTCACCTATGCAGTAGGCATAGAAATAACTGAATTATTCAGTTATTTAAGAACAACAGCGATTTCTACAGAAATGAATATGAACTGATAATACGAAAAAAATCATACTGTCGAATAAGTATGAAGTAAAATGTCTTTAAAAATAAATCAAATAATGCAAAAGATCATTCTCTTATCTAAGATTCAGGTTTTTCTTACTTTAATCCATATAGAAGTATCTATCACACAGCGGAATAGTATGATTTCCAAAATTAACCTACTTTTCAAGGTGATTGATTGAACACTGAGAGATCAGGTAAGTGTAGTGTAAACCGAAGCAAAAAACACAACAAATAACCCATCTCTTATGTGAAATTCTGATGAATGAACTGAATATAAACTAAGTCTAAACTATGCAGTTGAACAACTCGATCCAGTAAAAGAAGCATATCAATAAATAGTAATAACTAATACCCGCTGTACAAAATGTGGTTAACGTGCCTAGTGGATAACGCCTTGGCGTTTGAAGTGATGGGTACAAGGTTCGAGTCCCAGTGGGAACAACACCACTCTGCACTAAGGTGCAGGTGCATATCCAGCTGATAAAAAGCGCGTCCAGAGTTTCTCTGTTAGCTAAAACCTATAAGTTCAAACTAATTGTTAATAAAATTGGAAAAACAATTAAAATAATCATACAAATAGTGATGAATAGAAACATACTCGAAAATTCGCCTCGTCTAAACCATCAACTGAAATGTTTTCACAAGTTCGATTAATCCAGTTTTGAGCAACACGCTGAAATTGAATAAAGTCAATAAGCAGATTAAAGAAACATCATCCATCAACATAGGACTAGGCATTACTGAGTAACGGTTCAACTTGCCACAACCCATTTCATATCAGTAAATCAAGTAAAAAGGCAATGAAGTACAAGAAGAGAGAAAGGAAGAATGGGGAAATGGTGAGATTCGGTGTAGCGTCGTTAAGATGAGGATAATGTGTGGTATGCATCTGCGTCATGGACATAGCTTCTCAGCCATATCACCTACAACCAGTCTCCAACCACTGATTTCTCTTGTCCCACAGACCCAACCGCCTAGTCTGCATCGCCCTACATGGGTCAAACTAACACTCGTGTTTCAATCTGGCCGAGAGTCAAGAGCCATTTTTCAGCCTGAACCTACCCGCCCCCCCACCCCACCCAACATTGTGTAACGGGTCATACGGCGACTAGGCATACGTAACACATTTCCCAACCATCTCAGTTAATGAAGGCTCATAACCTCGTCAACTGACTTACCTCTTCTCCCTAAAACTCTACGCCTCAGCTTGACTTCTGCCCTACTCACATGGTGACACCATGGAATATGGCAACGGTAGTCAAACACCTGAGCCTTCTCATGTCTTCCATCTTCAATGGCCATGTTTCACAGCCATACAGTAGAACAGAGCGAATTGCTGTGGAGTACACGCCACCCTTATAAGATAATCAGATATCATGGCGGCACCACAGGCGGTGTAAGTTGGCAAAAGCCAGTCGAGCCTTTTGTATTCGTGCAGAGATTTCACCGGCCACTGACCAATGCACCAGGAGTGGTCCCACTTCCCAGGTAAATGAAGTGGTCGACACACTCAATCACTACACTCTCTATTGTTAGTCGCGGTGGGGCACTGTTGAAGACCAATCCTGGAGTAATAATTTTCATTTGGGTCGTGAGAAATGTATCCCAAACATTCTCAAGTGTTTAAGGTAGACTGCTGAGAATAATGAGTCAGTCAAGTCATGTCAAAGAATCCAGAATTCAATCTTACACTGAATAGCTGATTTACAAGGTCACCGCAAAAAAAATCATACCTATATACATAAATGAGATTTTACTTTGCGCAACGTCGGTTTGCAATGGTATTGATGAACGTGTTTTATCTGTTCGCGTTTGGTCTACCACCAGTCGCTGGGTAGTTATACGATCCAGGTACACGAACTTCTGAGGTTCATTAGGTTATATCCATTCAAGTCTAAAGTAAAACCAAGCGGCTAGCGATGAATCCTAACAAGTCGGGTAATTTCATCATTCTACAACAATAAGCATCATATGTAACATCGTCAGTGTGTTGTAGAGAGACGAAATACTTTCTGATCCATCCTTTTGTATTATTCTTTAAACTTTCATCCAGCTTAAGATTGCATTTCAGTATTTGTATTACACACAAAGATCTTTGTCATCTACTTCATAAAGGTTTATATCTACTAAAATTACTCACTGTTGTCAATTAAAAGAAGGTATGTGTGTGTGAGTGACGTATGCCTAGCGACTGTCTGCCTCGTCCAGCAATACTAGCCGAAGTTCATGCTAAAAAAAGTTTCAGGCGGTTAGACTAAAAACATGTCATCAATGTATGAAGTCCTCGATTTTTCGTTTGAACCATTTAGGGCTATGCAGACTAGCCGACTGAAGTCTACGGGACAGGAGGAATCAGTGGTTGGTATAACGTAATGAATTCCGCTACATTATGCATACTCGTGTAGCAGGTAATCGATGAGACCTTGTTGTCTGTGTATGAAGGTCACTGATACTACCTGGCTGCTCAAACCTCGGTAGGTGGAACAGTATTGAAAAAAACTCTGAATCGCTGAACCATATTTTCTAGTAGATCGAAGTAGGACCACAGCAATCTAGTTCGAATCGAACTCCACATTCATGCGGTAAGCGACAATGAGCAACACGTCTTGTGTAAGACCTATTATTATTATTATTTGTCCCATGGGTTCCTAATGGAATATACGGCTTCACCAGCACGTCTCCAATGCGCTCCGTTCTTTGAAATCTTTTGAACCTGGCTTTACGACAGCCCACAAGCTCTCATTTCCTCCTCACACGATCTCCTCCATGTCACCCTCGCCTTGGACGCCCAACTAGTCGCTTCCCATCTGGGTTCTACTCGATGACCTGATCTAGCATGGCGCGTGATGTCCCCATTCGGTCTTCTCAGTATATGCCTAATCCATTTCCACTTCCTTCCACTGCATATTTGTTCAGCAACAGCTTCTTGGTTGGTTCGTTCCCAGAGTTCCTCCTTGCTTATTCTTTCTGGCCATCTGATCTTCAGTATCGAGCAAGAGTAGGCAATTCTTGATGAATGTCTGTAGTTTGTTGGAAATGCTTTCCGTAACGCGTCAAGTCTCTGAGCCATACAGAAGCACTGATTTGATGTTGGTGTTGAAAATCCGCATCTTGTTCCACATACTGAGTCCAGAAGATCTCCACACTGGTTTCAGGCTAATGAACGCCTGTCTTGCTTTTCCGATCCTGGCTGATTTAACATCCTCGTCTGCGCCGCCTGTAGTTGAAACAGTGCTGCCCAGATAAGGTATTGTGTCCTGTCATCCTAATTATCCCTAACCGATTAGTTTCATCGATGTAACAAACTAAATTAATTTGTCTGATCGGTTACATGGAATTCTTTATCCTAAAATGTTTGTTTCTTACGGGATTTGTGGGTTTATATGCCAAATTAGTCAAAGACCTGCTGAGAAGTCTGCAGAAATTTACTATAATTGGTAACATTGTGGAGGTTTCGAACTCTCTCTTTTCACAATCTTGTCATCATCATCATATATATTGTCGGTGATTTGTGATTATTACTAATTGTCCCCTGGGTTCCTAGTGGAACATATGGCTTCAGTAGCACTTCGCCATTCCGCTCTCTTCTCTGCAGTCTTCTCAACCTGGATCCACGACTGCCCACAAGCTTTCACTTCTTCCTCACACCATCCTCCCCATGTCATCACCCTCGGACGCCCGACTCGTTGTTTCCCTTGTGGGTTCCACTCGACGGCCTGGCATGGTGTGTGATGTCCCCAATCGGTCATCTCAGTGTACGTCCAGTTCAATCCAACTCATCTCCACTTTCTTATGCATATTCGCTGGGTGATAGGTTCTTGGTTGGTACGCTGCCACAGTGAGTTCCTTGTTGCTTATTCTTCTTATTATGGCCATCTATCTTATCTTCAGTATCGAGTGTAGGCGGCAGCTGTTGATGTACGTCTGGTTGGGTATCTTCATCAACCTATGTCTTCTATACGTTCACCTGAAGGAAGTCCCGTTTTCGCTGCCTCACCTCTTCTGTCAACTTGTTGGTTTTCGCCTGTAGATCTTCGAGTTTGTGCGATATTAGACATTAGACATAAATCATCATCGTCGGTCACGTCCAAATCTTCTAGGGTCTTTTCATCGGTCCGGCCAGCGTATGCCCATCATCTCGCTCCTCACAGTTTGTTGCATGATCCAGTCCACCACAATCAGGAAGACCATCGGTGATAGCAGGCGGTAGCTTTGTCTTACTCCCGTCTTCACTTCAAATACGTTTCTGAGCTTTCTATTGTGAATCACTCAGAATGTAGCATCATTATCATATAGCATACAGCTGTTGAATGAGGTTGATAAAGGTTCGTGGCGCTAAAACCGTAGTGTTGAAGCAGCTGCCTGCCAAATTACTTCTCGGTCGACGCTGTTGAAGGCCTTCTCAAAGTCGATGAAGTTGAGGTAGAGTTGAGTTGGCTGCCATTCTATGCTCTGTTCTATGATGATGCATAGCGTAGCGTTGCAATTTGATGCTCATGTGATTTGTACTTTTTGAATCCAGCCTGTTCTGGTAGTAACTTTGAATCCAGAGCATTTTTTTAGTCTCTCCAGGATGATGCAGTTTAATATTTTTGCTTGGGGTGATAAACATTTTTTTTTCAACTCCCTACACATTTCTAGATCACTTCGTGTGTATAATAATTGAGTAGTAAGACTTATTTTGTCTTATTTCTTATCGTGAATTTGTGGTTCACTGCTTAGGCATTTTAGGTTATTTTTCATCATGAACAGACATTAGTTGGAAAACTGTTAGAAACCTGGGAGTACTGGACATCTGCTTCGTTCTAGTATGGGTCTCCTAAATCATGTGTACCTATTACCCCGCCCCGCTGGGGGGTCAAACCCAGGATTTGCAGGTTCTGTGGCCAGCATGTTACCATTGAGCCAGCCAACGAAGTGGTAGTACGTGGTCCATATTTCGTGCTTCTGTCGCTTTATTGTAAACTGGATTCCGACTCAGTTATTATGTAAACACTTCAGTGAACCTACCTTAACTGCCGTAGGGGATTTGTAAGTTAACTGTAGACACTAGTGTCAAAGCACCGACAGACAGTATGGAGACGGTAGCAGGGAAAAGGCCATAGGGAGAGTTATTAAGCTTCCTAGCATTTATGAAGAGACTTAAGATCTCCATACATTTGGAAAGTGTGTCCCTGACTGCTTTCGCTAGAAGTCTCACAAAGTCGACCTAATGAGGACCCAGCTGATTGGTTGGCTGTAGAAGTGAACAGCATAGGCAACTTTGTTAAAAATCATTCTTGAACATTAAAAGGATTTCTACCAATAAAGACAATTTACATAACTTGAAAACTACATAGACTAAGTGTATGTCGCCGTTTGCCTCGTCACACAATATTGGCCGAAGTAGATTCAGGCTGGAAAAAGACTCTTGACTCTCGGCCAGACTACAATATGGCATCAATACATGAAGTCTTCGACTATTAGTTTGAGCCATTTAGGGCGATGTAGATTAGCCGGTTGGTGTCCGTGGGACAAAAGGAACCAATGGTTGGAGACTGACTCTAGGTGATATGACTGAGAACCGATTTCTCTGGCGCAGATGTATACACACACATTATCCTCACCTTAACGACTCTTTACTGATATGAGATGAGGTGTGGCAAGTTGGACCGTTACGCAGTAATGCCTAGTCCTATGCTGATTTGGATGGATGGTTACACACAAAACACTATTTTATATATCACGACAATCCACGTAGAAATTTAAACTCACATAATATGCTTTTTAACACTAAGCATCAATAGTCAATAGATATTCATTAGGATATTCAGAACAAAAAGTTTATAATTCCATTTAAGTGGCTTTAACAGGTCACCCTGGAAACCATTGAGATAACCAATAAGGTTTCTCTATTTCGAATAGAAAGCTGATTGGTCAGTTTCTACAGTACAGGTCTCTACTTATATTTCCCCTTTTTATAAAAGTTCAATACCATAAAATATATTTTGTTTTTTTTCACCAAAATACCTACCAATTGTAGATCAATTTGATTAAAGGGTAAAAATTCTTGAGGTAGACGTGGTTGAATTCTTTCATTATTTAATAAGGTCCCATTGGTGTGTGCATCTTGACAGTTTTCAGTTACTTTTGATAAGCAATCAACAGTAGTTTGAAAAGAATCTTCTTTCATTGTAAGCACAGATGAGTGTTCTTTTTTAATTTGTACGCCAACATCTTTCTGATTAATAGGACTTGAAGAAGATTCAGTAGCTGTTGGTGATGATGATCGCTTAGGTTGTTTATTTCGTGAACATTCAAAGGAATTCAGCTGACATGAAGAATACTCTTCATGTTCAAGAGTATTATTGCTAATAGGCATTAACTGTATATTATCATTACATTCAAGAGTATCATTATCAAGATGATTAAACTCTTTTGATAATACTGTCATCTCATCAGTTGTTGGATGTGGTCGTTTTCTACACTTTCCAACTGTATACAAAGAAGAATTCATATCAGTAGAATGTTCATTTACGATAGAATTGACAGTTTTCACTTCAGATTGCATAACCTGATAGTTATCGTAATTATTAGGTGGAATATGATTACTAGTAGAAGAAATGAATATATTGCTCGGTGATGACGATGATGACGACGATGAACCGATTGAAATTGAAATCCCATTTGATTTATCTGATAATAATTTACTGAGTGATTCCATTTCATTGTCTTTATTATTAATGTTATAAGTATCATTAGTATTGTTATCAACATTATTATTATTATTATTATTTGGGAAAAATGCCTTAGCCAAGCGTGACTTTCGAAGTTGCATAACAGCTGAAGGGATTTTAGTTGATGTATACTTCAAGTGATCGATTGTTTTGTCTTCTTCAGCAAAAAATGGGCGTAATGGTGTCCATATCTATGTAAAATCGAGAATAAAATATCAAAGAAGAGTAACTATGACGAAATAGTGTTATTACTAAAGAATAGTGGTGACTTAGAAACCGAAAAAACTGTAGTTTACTTGTTTATAGTGATATGACTATCAACGAATAGGTTTTAAGTTTCAACTTCGCTTCAATTACCAACGCTCGGATGGCTAAGAAGTAGCCTTGGAATAAAAGAGAATATTTATAGCACAGGTGGATGGTCTTGGTTGTATTGAGTTCTCTGAGCTGGGTTGTTTAACCGTGAAGATTTCATCGTCTTGCTACACTGCGACATCATCCACAGCACTAACTTCAGCATTAAGTGAGCTGTCAATATCTCTCCATCAGTGATTTAGTGGCTTGCTCTGACGATGTGTTCTGTGATTGATTATTTCCTTCGATTGTTGTGTCATTGATTGTATAGACTTTCCTGTTGGCTGTTCCTCTGCTTCACCTCTGACCTTTCTGTCGTTTATCATTTTTCTTATTGGTTGGTAGGTCGGGTGTATGTCTATACATCTGTTGATTGCCAACTGACTGACTGACTGACCTGTATGCTAAGCTTCTAGGAATTCTCTGATATTCTTTGTGTCTGCTCTCTCCGTCTAAGATTTCTATATTGCTGATGCCTATCCCGTGAATCATCAACTACAAAATCACCGACAGATAAACAAACGCATCATCCTACCATAATGCATAAAGAATATATCAGAAATCAAGACAAGATTACTGAGACTACTTGGTGGAATTTGGTGTGGCCCATAAACCAACAAATTCCCTTCAAACACTATTATGCAGACCAAAGGATGCAACAACCATAGAAGACAAACCAAATATCATTTACAAAATCAACTGCAATAACTCTAGTCAACACTACATTGGACAAACTGGTCGCCGTATTCACCTTCGTCTACATAAACACTAATTGGCTATTCAACATCACACACCACATTTCATCACTCATTTCAATGCATGTGGATAACAACTATCGACATTAATTGAATTTCGACAATGTAGAAATCTTGGAGGGAGAGAGGAAACACAAAGAATATCAGAGAATTCCTAGAAGCTTAGCATACAGGTCAGTCAGTCAGTCAGTTGGCAATCAACAGATGTATAGACATACACCCGACCTACCAACCAATAAGAAAAATGATAAACGACAGAAAGGTCAGAGGTGAAGCAGAGGAACAGCCAACAGGAAAGTCTATACAATCAATGACACAACAATCGAAGGAAATAATCAATCACAGAACACATCGTCAGAGCAAGCCACTAAATCACTGATGGAGAGATATTGACAGCTCACTTAATGCTGAAGTTAGTGCTGTGGATGATGTCGCAGTGTAGCAAGACGATGAAATCTTCGCGATTAAACAACCCAGGCCAGAGAACATAATAAAACCAAGAAGAAGTAGCCTTAGTTTAACAATGGTAAGTGTGGTTCATAGACATACCCAAAGAAGATCTGGCACTAGTGTATAAAGTCTCTGCTTGTTAATCTGAACCGTGTAGGTAGGTAGGTGTACACTACCTCTCTAGTGATCAGGGTCCCTGAAACCACAAGAAATGGCTAAGAATCGATAACAACAGTGTTAGAGAATGTTTTGACTAGCCTTCATTTCAAAATCTACCCTCTTCTTTTTATTCACTCATCATTTGCATTTCACCGTGTGATGTATCGTAAATTGAGGTTTGCGAGTTTCTGTTTCAATGTACAAATGATTGTTGAGTTAGCATATCCAAACAAATAACAAGCGCTGCTATCATTCCCAAATAACCACATGTTACATGACATTAAGTATTCAGCATTATTGTGTATTGACTATTATTTTGACCAGTATTGATACTGGATAATGATTGAAAGTAAGATTAGAATTCAGATCACGATCAGATTCGAACCAACGACCACCAGGTGTTTTCGCCTCAATGCTCTCTACCAAGTGAGCTACAAGATCCAACTACTGACAAGATTTTTATTTCATTTCAATCACCAAGAGTTTTGTCCGACTACCATATGAATTTATGATGTGTTACTACCGCTTGATCGTAACTCACACTGGTTGCATAGTCAGGACTTCTCATCTCAATCCAAATCTAACTGAATTGGATAGAGAGAGCATCATATTGTGTATACCATGCTAACAAATAAGTGATTTCAAGTTTCTTACAGACATACATACAACTCAGATGCCAAATATACAAGAAAAACGAATACCATCTTATAGAAAGTGTTCATGACAACTCGAATGGTAATTTCATAATGTTTGGATGTTTCTCACCATCCAAATGTAAATCAATGCTCCAGCACTTGTCTTCACTGAGACCCGATCAATAATTGAGAAGGATGTGGTTGAGTGCGTTGACCATTTCACTTACCCAGGAAATCGGACCAGCCCTGGTAGGTAAACAAACGACAAAATTCAGACAGTGAAACAAAAATACACCCCATACAGCGCCGCTGTGATATCCCACTTAGAATAAGAGTCAATTGTACTACCCTGTAGTTCGCTTAAAGTGTTTGACCATCGTTGCCTATGCAGTAAAAACCCTGTATCGTGGTATCATCATATGAGTAATGCAGAAATCAGGGATAGACGTTTAGAGAACAGAGGTAAATCAGTCGGTGAGGTTGTGAACCTTCATCAACTGAAGTGGTTGCGGCATGTTACGCATGCTTAATCAGTGTCTACCTCGTCCTGCAATGTTAAGTGAAGTAGTTTGAAGGGGGGGCCAGACTAAAAAGTGATATCATTGTATGAAATCGTTGCCTACTGGTCTAAGCCGTGTAAAGAAATACAGACTTCCCATATGACAACAGGAACTAGGGGTTGGAGACTCTAGGTGACAGGGCTCACAATCGATCTCAGTAGCTTACAGGTATCCACATATTATCCTTATCTCAATCGTCATAATGAATCTAGTATCTTTTTATCCCTTTATCCTCTCTTTTACTACTTTTTACTGCTTTCCTTTATCTCTTCACCTTCCTTCTTATTGCTTTGTTACTTGAGGTGTAGCAACGTCGAGTGTTTCGTAGTAGTGCTTGATCCGATGTTGATAGTGATGATGACGAGTATCGATCCTTGTCTTCTACCGTATGAAGTTAGGGGTGGGGAGAAAGAAAATCTCTATGAATAATCAAGTAGTGTAATACACGTCGAAACTAGTAAGATATTTTTTTAACGTCACATGGTGAGCGAAAAGAACCACATCGACCGGACGCTTTATTCACATTCGGGTTCACAGATAGACAAATCAACGCAGAACCTGATAAACAAGTGGATCAGTTTAAGTAGCAACACTTCACGGACGCACGTGAAGGGGTTGACAGGAAAGGAAATGAAATAAGGCAGACAAAACTGTATTGCCAGAGAGAGAGAAAAAAAATTAGAAAAATAGAGGTCGATGAAAATATTTAAGACTTCGAAGATCGAAAGTTTATGCGCCTGCCCCATTGTCATCGATATTCAGTGATGTCATTAACAGGTCCCAACCACTGGTTCTTAATTACAATTATAGAACTTCAGCCAGGTAATCTACTCAACCCTAAATAACACGAAACGATAGTCAACGACATCATGGACTGGTGCTATGTCTCTGTTTCACTAGCCTGAGCCTTCTTAGAAACCAACCCTATTTCGGTTAACGCTACACATCATAGGCGAAAGTGGCTTGTCATGAGAAACACTTGCTATAACTACCCGTGTCATTGAACGTTCATAACCTTACTGAATCAATAGCCTTCGTTACATATTACCCTAAACTATACCTCAATGTTGGTTACACGCTGATTCCACTACGAGCGAGTAGCCCTACGAAGACATTTAGGGTAAAACGTTTAATCTGTTAAAAACTTCTACCTTCAACGACTATACATCACAGTCATATATTAAAACAAAGCGGACTGCAGCGCACAATAGGTAGTCAGATATCTCGCCAGAGACAAAAATGAAGTCAACTTTTCAAATGTTGAACGTGCCTTTCGTATCCCAGCTGAGACCTAGTCAACAACTAATACATTCATATTTAAGCAACTTCCCAAGTAACTGAAATGGTTAGTGTATTCTAGCGCTTCCATCTCTATGCTTAAACAAGGAACAGATGCAGACCGTTTCCTAAGCATTATCGCATATTTGACACGTGAAAAAAACGTGTCAAGTGAATTCAGATATTCGTGCAAGACATTCAAAGGATTTTGTTAGCATCTTCGCTTAACAGAATTATTTCATCTGTATGACATTCTTAGCAATAGATAAGTCGCTTTAAAATCAGAGGTATTCTAGGATTATATGCACTAATGAGTTGATAATAACGTTCAACAGGAATGGTGGCAGTGTGGAGGAAACCAATAGTTTTGTTTACTTCAGACGACAAGTTCCAATAAGCCCTACATAACTGTGTCAGAACGAGTTGATGGGTTTGATAGATATTACATACTTGCTCGATACTCACTTCAAAGACAGATACTACCACAATACTTGACGATCGACACGGTTCCCAAATATGGCAAATGTTTGGCATCGATTAGTATGTATGTTTGTGTTCCAGGATCTTTTGAACGGTACAGATATAATGGATTCACTATCGTTCAAGTCTGAAAGTTGACTAGAAGTTAGATAACTATGAATTCTAATATTTGTAGACACCAGTCAAGTCTATTTTCTCATGTTTTCTCAAGGGAAGACTTTTTTTCTCATAAACTAAAAATGGTCAGTGAACTAGATCAGTTTGACACGGCTAGCTCTGATTCCGATATGCTACCTTGTATTTGCATTACTCTACTCAGCAATTTTTATCTACATCCTTAAAAGTGTATGATTCCAAACTGTCAGGTTGTGCTGCTTTGTATCAATTCAGATTTGAAACAACCATTAAATACTACAATGAAACTTGAAAAACACAGGGCATATACATCCAAGTTTATACTTTATTAAAAGAAAAATAATTGATCAATGAATCTCCAGGGATAAATTGTCTCAACAGATACAAGTACATAAAATGCTTAGGAAAAAAAAAGAAGTGTGTTTTAACCAACCTTGAAATCATAATCTAAACCAGCTGAAGCTAATACAGGCAATGTAGGATGTGGTTCAATAACATTGACAGCTCCATCAGTATCTGCATGAAGCCATTGAACTATTCCTTCTGATTCACGATCCCATAAATAAAAGTATCCATCATCACTACCGCTAACTATATATTCACTATTTGGTCCAAAGAATGAAGCACCAACAACTAAAAAAACATAAATTTTATAGAAAACAATAACAACAACAAATAAACATATCATCAAACTAAGCTGAACTCAATACTAAGGTTGTGGTCTTAGTTGTATTGTTGTTCCCTGAGCTAGGTTGTATAAAGTTAGTGCTGATGATGTCACTGTTTAGAAAGACGATGAAGATCATCCACCTGAACTACAAATATTCTCCACTAACAACAACTGGAAAATATGCAAGTGACTTTGTGTGTGCATGATTCTAAAGGCCAACCTAAAAACTACTGAAATAACCAATTAAAATTTTGTGTCATTCATGAAAAAATGGCGACCTAAGTCTTTGCAAGAACTGGTGAGGAATCAAGCTTCTGTCCACCCCAAGCAAAATATTATGCCACATCATCCTCGAGAGACTAAAAAATGCGCTGGATTCAGGAAGTACAAATCACGTGCGAGCCAAATTGCAACGCTACGCCAAGCATCATCATAGAACAGAACATAGAATGGCAGTCAACTTTCTACCTCAACTTCATCGACTTTGAAAAGGCCTCTCACAGCGTCGACTGACAAGTAATTTGGCAACTGCTCCAACACTATGGAGCCACAAGCCTTTATCAACCTCAGTATACAACTATATGAAGACGCCACATGCCAAGTAATTCACAATGGAAAGCTCAGCGACGCCTTTGAAGTGAAGAGAGGAGTAAAACAAGGCTGCCGCCTACTATCACCCATGATCTACTTGACTGCGGTGGACTGGATCATGAAACAAACAGTGAGCAGCGAGAAGGGGATACGGTGGACCGGGTAATAGAGCCTAGAAGATTCCGATTTCGCCGCCGATGATGATTTATGTCTAATGTCACACAAACTAGAAGATATACAGGCAAAATCCAACAAGTTGACAGAAGAGGTGAGGCAGCGAAGACGGGACTTCAAGTGAACGTAGAGAAGACAGAGGTGATGATGATACCCAGCCAATGATGCCACCCACCTGAAAGTCCAGAGTTCAACTCCTGGAGGCGTTGTAGGTGCGAACTGCTGAGGAATCCTATACAAGGACGAAACAGTTTAAAGATTATCAATGATTCAATACGTGATGAATGCGACCTCGAACTACATTACCAAAAAATGATCGTTCGATAAGACAATTTACAAACCACTTAGCTATCACAGACTAATTTCTTCTTCCACTACACATGAGGAGACAAAAATTGATTATCCGCCTTCCTTCTTTCTATCCACAAGGCACCATAGATTATGAAAATAAGTGAGCGGTTAGTCAATATAAAGTTCTTGAAGTTGCCAAGGTCATACAATAATACTCAGTTAAATCAGTCTGAAGTTAAATAGTTTTCAAAAATAAAAAAAAGGAAATAATACGACTGACACTATTTGCCCAAAGATTCCTATCTTAGTTTTTCCTTTTACCAGTCCGTTTATACACAAACCAGAATCAACTACAGGTAAAGTTAATGACTCTGACTTAATTGTTCTTATGATATTTGTAATTTCCCTTTGCTGTATACAGGGATGAATTGCTGTTGAAAGATGGGTTCCTATGTAGATGTCTCGATGCCCATTGCATAATCATGATGTTGACTCCTAGTGGAGTTCAGAATACATGTTTCGTCCTGTTTTGGACTCGTCAGCTGGATGTACCTACGCCCCATCCCGTCGCTATACAGGATCGAATCGTTCTCAATGGAAACAACACCACTCATTAGGGTGTAGATACATCCAGCTGACAAAATGTATATCCTAGATTCCACTGTCAGTCATCAAGATGAATAAAGCTGTAATTTAAATGTTACAACTAATTCTGAGTAGGAAATACTGACGAAATCAGAAATTGGTTGGTTAGAGATCAAAACAAGTCCTAGTTTCTATGTGTACTCCCCGAAGTCGATTGATGAATTATGCCTTGTGTTTATATTGAGCTGAATGATAAAATCTTTCAGTGCATTGTACTATTTCTATCTCAACATCTATATAGTAATGCTTTCCTTTGTACCAGTATCAACGTTTATTGGTATGAGTTATAGTTATTTGGATGAATGGATATCTTTGTACGCTATCCTCCAAGTTAATATTATCTTAGCCATAAAGCCAACTGGTTTGATGGGTCACAATACTGTGCTATGCAGATGTTAGACGGTTAGAAGTAATCGGTAGGTAAACCCTGTTTATTGGCTGTAAGTCACTAGCCTAATGAGTCACGGGTTCGAACCCATCCCAATCTAACGAGGTTCAGGCAGTCAGTTAAAGAATCCCTAGCCCTGATATAATAGATGAGGCTTATTGTCTACTGTATGGATGTATACAAAGTTGTTGAATGGAACTTAATATGTTCCTCTACGCAATCAGATAGGTTACAACTGAGCTATTCCACTAGCACTGTAAAACTAGACGACAGGAAGTTGATTACTCTTTAGTGACTGAAGGTATCCAATCCAGTCCTAAAGGAGGTCAACTGCAGCCCGAATAGCTGAGTGGTAACGTCACTGACTGTGAGACTGAGTGGTGAGGGTTAAAAATCCCACAGAGGACACTATTTCCTTCGAGGTTGCAAATACACCTTGCTGAAGAGTGCCAGAAAGCACGGAACCTAGGTTACATAGGGCTTCCTGTTGACTGCCTCGAATCCATAAACAGCCAGCAAAGTGCAACACGATGGCAAGTGTCCTAGCTTGGATGGTCACAAAGCAAAACTGTTCTCTGGCCTGGGTTGTTTAATCGTGGAGCTTTCATCGTCTTGCTACACTGCGACATCATCCACAGCACTAACTTCAATATGAAGTGAGCTGTCAATATCTCTCCATCAGTGACTTAGTGGCTTGCTCTGACGATGTGTTCTGTGATTGATTATTTCCTTCGATTGTTGTGTCATTGATTGTATAGACTTTCCTGTTGGCTGTTCCTCTGCTTCACCTCTGACCTTTCTGTCGTTTATCATTTTTCTTATTGGTTGACAGATCGGGTCTATGTCTATACATCTGTTGATTACTGACTGACTGACTTGTATGCTAAGCTTCTAGGAATTCTCTGATATTCTTTGTGTCTGCTCTCTCCCTCCAAGATTTCTACATTGTCGAAATTCAATTCATGTCCATAGTTGTTATCCACAAGCATTGAAATGAGTGATGAAATGTGGTGTGTGATGTTGAATAGCCAATTAGTGTTCATGTAGACGAAGGTGAATACGGCGACCAGTTTGTCCAATGTAGTGTTGACTAGAGTTATTGCAGTTGATTTTGTAAATGATATTTGGTTTGTCTTCTATGGTTGTTGCATCCTTTGGTCTGCATAATAGTGTTTGAAGGGAATTTGTTGGTTTATGAGCCACACCAAATTCCACCAAGTAGTCTCAGTAATCGTATCGAATTATTGTTACAACAGGCCGATTACAATCAACTAACTCAGAGAGCGTTCACAACACTGGAAAGTTCAGCAAAACGAAGCAGATGATAAGGTCTTTCTCCGCTAAGAAAATTTTTTATGTACATATATACTCGTGTTATGCTTTCTTCTTACGAATAAAAGACAAATATACATCGAATCTCTTCGATAACTCATCGCTACATACTCGACAAGTTACACATTTTCTCTCTCACTCTATTCAGTAATGACACTTAAGATATTCAGTACAATCTGTAATTCATTTCAGGCTAATATTCATCATGAACACCAACCAACAACAACAAGCTCCAATCACTATGAACGGGAGAAACTTAAAGGAAGTAGCCTCTTTCACCTATCTAAGCAGCATCGTTCCAACTACAGACGGCAGCACACATGAGGACGTCAAAACCAGCATCGGAGAGACAGCAAGACAGGCCTCCCTTCATTAACATGAAACCAGTGTGGAAATCTTTTGCACTCAGCATAAAGCGTGAACAACATCCGGATTTCCAACATCAACGTTAAGTCAGTGCCCCTATATGGTTCAGAGACTGAGCGCGTTACGAAAAGCATGTCCAACAAACTACAGATATTCATCAACAGCTGTCTACGCTGGTTCGTTACTGAAGCTCATATGGCCAGAACAATAAGAATAAGCAACAAGGAACTCACTCTAGCTGGCAACGAACCAACCAACAACCTACCACTTAACAAATATGTAGAACGAAGTAGAGATGGATTGGACATACACTGAGAAGGCCAACTGGAGACATCACGCAGCAGGCCAGACCCTCGAGTGGAACCCATATTAGAAACGACGAGTTAGGCGTCCGAGGGTGACATGGAGGAGATGGTGTGAAGAAGAAATCAGAGCTTGTGGGTAGTCGTGGAGCCAGGTTCAAAATTTTGCAGAGAACAGAGTGCACCTTGTGACGTGCTACTGAAGCCCTATGTTCCACTAGGAACCCAAGGGACAAATAATAATGATAGATTCATCATGAACTGACATCAGTTGGAGAAACATTGGTAACCTGGGAGCACTGGACAGCTGTTTTCGTCCTACGATGGGACTCCTTTGCAGTGCGCACCCATTAACCAATCAGAAGTAAAACCTAAGGCCTTCATGTTCCATAGCTAGCAGGTTATCGTTGAACCAATGGATAAAATGCTGATCCTGGGTTCGATCCCTGACGGTGTAATGAGTGCGCAATGCTGAAGAGTACCGGTATAAGGACGAAACAGCTGTCCAATACCTCAAGTCTAATGAACTACAGAAGCCTCACAAACTATACAATTCAATAATGTACACCAACGGGACCTTAGTGATATATGTACGTGGTTAGTTGAACTTCCGAAGGGTAAAACATAGGGCAACAACAAATGTAACTACAATCCACAGAAATTAACCAGTGAAACACCTTCAAAATGTGTAAACTAACCCATGTAATTGTTCAACTTTTGTTACTTTTTTTTACGGTTTTTGAAAAGCTTTACCATACTCTTTTTATTTATTTAAGTCATTTACTTCAAAAATTTTCTCTTCAATAACATAATATAACTCAACTCGATTCATGTGTACACATAAGGCTCTAAATCATACATCCAGTTGTGTTAAGGGTTTATGATACTACTCCAATTGTCTTGGTAGAAATAGGTGAGGAGGAGTTCAGCACAAGGATCCCTTGATTGAACATGAACTTACCGAATCAATAAGCCACCAATCACATTAAAGTTCACATTGAAAAAGATCTATGCTTTGTATTGACTCAAATTCATTAATACATTCACCTACGCATTGAATGACGTGACAGTAGCCTTGTAAAAGTAGTTAGATACTAGACCAAGTTCAGTCATCTAGTGATTGACTGTTATTTACATCCATAGTTAACGTCATGAGAACATTCCTCCTTATTTTTAACTGCTTTCAAAACAACTTAGCACATAAAACAAGACAAAAAGAAGTTTGGTTGCCCTCCAGTAACCAGTCAGCGTATCTAACCTAGTCCCTACTGGAGGTCAATCGTGGTGCGGATAACTCAATGGTAACGTCTCTAACTGCAGTGCTGGCTGACATGGGTTCGAACCCTAAGCAAGACATTATTCCCATCGACATTGCAGGTACACCTTCCTGCAGATCGCTCCCATCCAACTGACAACTCTGCTATCTGTCGCACTACCAAGAGCATAATGGAAACGCCATAATGTTAAAATCTTATTCAATTCATCTAGTCATATACACTAAAATGCTTAGAATATCTGTACACTGTTCAATTACGCATCTCCTTCAAAAGTCACACTCCGATTGCTTATCGACAGTCGAACAGTTTACACTTACGAATGTGACTCAGAATATAGGAATCGATGATTGTACAAACTAGTACTATTTCATCCTCTGGACTGCCGGACTAAAGCAATGGCATCAATACATAGGAAAGACTGTGACAATTGATCCACACATTATCATCAGAACCGAATTCTGTCGACCCTTTTGTATTCGTGCAGAAATTTCATCGACTACTGAGCCACTAGGGCTGATCCTACTTCCCAGGTAATCATCATCATCGACATAGGACTACGCATTACTGAGTAACGCTCCAACTTGCCACACCTCATCTCATATCAGTACATCAAGTAAAAAGGCAGTGAAGTGGAAGATGAAGGAGAAAATTCAGTCAAAAGAAATATAAAGTACGAAAGGAGAGGAACGAAGAATGAGAAAATGGTGAGATTCGGTATAGAGTCGTTAAGATGAGGATAATGTGTGTGTGTATACATCTGCACCACTGACATCGGTTCTCAGTCATATCACCTAGGGACAGTCCCCAACCACTGGTTTCTCTTCTCCTGCGAACCCCAACCACCTAGTCTGCATCGCCCCACATGGCTCAAACCAACAGTCAACGACTTCATACATTGATGTCATATTGTATTCTGGTCACCTCGAGCATTTTTCTAGCCTGAACCTACTTCAGTCAACATTATGTAACGAGTCAGACGGCGACTAGACTTATGTAACACATTTCCCAACGATCTCAATTAATGAACGTTCACAACTGAGTCAACTGACTTACCTCTTCTCCCTAAAACTCTACACCTGACTTCTGCGTTACTCACCTAGTGACACCACGGAATATGGCAGCGGTGGTCAAACACCTGAAGCCTTCTCATGTCTTCCACCTTCAATGGCCATGTTTCATAACCATGAAGTGGAACAGACCGGACTGCTGTGCAGTAGCACACGACTCTTAATAGACGATCGGATATCACGGCGGCGCCACAGGTGGTGTAAGTTGGCAAAAGTCAGTAGAGCCTTTTTGTATTCATGCAGAAATTTCATCGGCCACTGAGCCACCATGATAAAGCTGATGTCACTTCTCAGGTAAGTGAAGTGGTCGACACATGCAATCACTACAGTCTCTATTGTTAGCTAAAGCACCTCTCATAGTTCTCTACCTTTCAAATCAAACCATTCTAGTTTGATATGCTGATGAAGTATACGGAAAACTTGACTGTTTCAAAGTAGTTCGAAGTATCATATTGATGTTGACTGATCAACTCTGATCACCATTCAACTCTTTTACGACTGAGCTATACTTTAGCCAATAACCACATATATGGAGATGGAAATGGATAGTGGATAAAACAGAAGTGTAAAAGGCATGGTTAAGACGATAATTAATTATGCCAGGTCGAAAAGATGAAACGTAAGATATCCGGGTGTGTATTGTGAAACTGATGAGAAACCTCACAGATACACGTATACACACACACACAACAACAACAACAACCGAATTCAACTAACTTGTTTGCATATTACGATGACCAGAGTATTTATGTAAATATGGTTTATTCGGTTGGTTAATATCGAATAAGTAAATATCTTCGTCATTATAAGACAGAAGGATAGCTAAAATATGAAAAAAAAAATAATAACCAAGTCAATAAAGGGAAATAGCACGTAGAAATGCAACAACTCAATACAATTTGAAAAATATCCAAGTGATACATATGTACACAATGGTGAAAAAACAAACACTAACATAAAGCAATTTCATTACCGCTATGTGATATAGTTATTCATTCGAATGACCGCGATAGTTGTGGTTTGATAGACTGGCATTGATACTAGGTGATGATTAAAAGTGACTACCGGGTCTAGAAGCTTAGTTAGTAGAAAAAACTAGACTAGAAACTCGATAGTCGCTAGTTAAAATCCCGCTGCGCCTTTTAAACTTTCATTTCATTTTCAATTATCATCTAGTAGCAATCGCTAGTTTGTTTGCATTGAGTAAAGTGGTTAAAACCTCACCAATCGAAACATACCTTCAACTGGTAATTTAACTGTTGAAAGTTATAACCAACCGACCATAAAAGTAAGAAACATATTCATACTCCCTCAATAGCAGTATGACTATGCTTCTGTGGTATTCGATTACCGTGTACTCCATTTAATTCCACCATAGTAGTTAGGTAGTAGTATATTGATGCCTAACATTCTCTTTAACTGTATAACACCTAACAAGCTGTTCAAAGTCCATTTATTCAGTTGGCAACCAGTCTTTGTCTGTATACAATTTGCACTGTATTAACGAAATGCAAAATAGGATGACAAGTTTACAAATGATTCACAGACTGCGCCAACCACGTTGACATTTCACACAGTTGACTGGTTTATTAACTTCCCAACTGTAATTTCAACAGAGTTTCACTTGAAAACTACACAGTCGTGATCTTTGACAAAAACGTTATGAAGCGAAATATACTACCGAAAAACGAAACAAGTAGTCGAAAACGACTCACGTTAATCCCGATGACAAAATCATCACCATCTGCGGCACTGCCAGGACATTCAATTGCCTATAAAAGGTCGAGTATACTGTGCTGCAGTCCGCTCTGTTCTACTCTATGGCTGCGAAACATGACCATTAAACGTAGGAGAAATGAGAAGGCTTCAGATGTTTGACCACCACTACCTTCGTAGAATAGGCCGTGTTTCGTGGTGTCACCACGTAAGTAACGCAGAAGTCAAGAGAGGTAAGACAGTTGATACGGTTGTGAACCTTCATCGACAGAGATGGCTGGCTGGGAAGTGTGTTACATATGCCTAGTCACACAACGGCAGAAGTAGATTCAGACTGGAAAAAGGTGAGGGACAGCCAGACTAAAACATGAAATCAATGTAAGAAGTCCTTGACTGTTGGTTTGATCCATATAGGGCGATGCAGACTAGGCAGTTGGGGTTTGCAGGACAAGACAAGCAAGTGGTTGGAGACTTTAGATAATATGGATCAGAACTGATGTCAATAGCGCAATATCCCCATCTTCTATGCTTAATCCCATCATCTTGTTCTTCCCTCCTGAAAGGAGTACCGAAGCAAGTAAATCACTCCGCTGAAGGCTCTGCATTCAAACACCTGTGTACCTGTCAGAACCTATCTTGGTTTGACAGGTGAGTCATGTACGCTAAGTGGCGTTCATCAGTAGGGTCCACTCTCTCCATTCCTGTTCAGCTTTTTCATGGACGTACATATGGAGGCTTCCCCCTCGTCATCCGACTATACAAAGATTGATCTTATTAAAAGAGACTGCATAGTATATCTAGAGTAGGCAAATAAATTAGTCCTATTAGGTGAAGACGCTGACAAGATGCAGAGTCTTCTGAACACCTTGAATGGCAACTTGAAAATGTTTAGGATGCGTTTCTTGTCACCCAAATACAAATTTTTGCTCCAGGGTTGGTTTTTAATGGCACCTTGTCCAACAACGGGGAGTAAAGTAGTTGGGCGCGCTGACAACTTCAGAGCGGTCATAGTGGGTCACTGACTGACGAAGTCAACGCACAGGTTAAAAAAAAACGGTTCGATTGACTCCCGTCAACTTATGCTGTCTATGGAAACATCACGATAATCGTTTGAGTATTAAGGGTCGAATGTACTGCGCTGCCATTTGCTCTGTTCCGCTGTATAGCTGTGAAAAATGGACGAAATAGGCGGGTGGGTTCGAACCCGGGATGTATTGGTCAAAAGTTGTGATTCGGTTAATCTAATACACTGTCCCCCACAATTAACAGGGAATATAAAATCAATCTAACCAACATGATTCCGATAAAGCAGATTCGATTCTCGGCCCAGATGTTCACAAATGAAGAATAAGACGAAAAAGGAAGAATACCCAACAAATGCATTAATCTTTGCTGCGATGAATATTACAGTAGAGAGATTATATGAGTGTTTTTCATAGAACACAGCAGAAACAACATGCGATAATATAAGCTGCGATGACCAATGATACTAGAAAACAATGTTAATCAGATAGTTTAACAGATAGATCAATACTGAACCTCATATGAAAGTTCATGAATCCAGGATCAGAATCGGAAACAAACAAACAAACATGAAAATAGACAAAAGTGTATTATGAGAGGTAAAAGCATAAACAACAGTTCAAAATTTTGAAGAAACGGTAATTGAAATGCACACTCGTGAACTATGCAATGTGTTAGAAATTGTGTAAGGAATAGTGAATGATACCACCTGGTTGTTTAAACCTCTATAAGGTAGAGCGAGTTTCGAACCTGTAACCAACTGATTACAAATCATCTTCCTAAAGCAATGAGTCACAGTCCTAGAGGGAATACAACTATGTAAATCTTGATTACTGACAACTTATAAACGCCAACGTACAGACTTGGTCGACCAACAACCAAATGATGATCCATTGTCCTGGATTAATTTAACCATTCTCTTAGATTTCTCTGAATATACACCTACTCTAAACAGCAGTGTATGTTGAAGTGAGCGATGCTATGCAATGTGAAACCTATATGCCCAAGACAATTCCATTGATGGATGTTCACAGTATCATCATCTCACAGATCAACCACCTTTACCTAGTCTTCTCCTACAAAACACTAATGAATAGGATTCGATCAGCACTCAGAACTTGCTAACTATCACTGTAGCTAATGAAGGTTATTCACAATCTGAATGTCACAGATTACAATACTGAGTGATGCTAGTTGGATTCTTCAAGGAGACATTACTTCTGTTGAGATTACATATACATCTTGATGATGAAAATCAATATATTAGTTAGAATAATAAACGAATAGAAACATACCATCACCCTGAGCACTATATACACCGGCAGTAATACTGTACTTTGTAATTTCAAAATTATACCAAGGATCTGATAAAAAACTTTCATCATTATTCCCCATTAATAGTGCTGCTCTTGCACGACCTCTAAGGCCACTAAGTACAGCACGAATTCTTCGACCAAGTTGTACAGATAATGAATTTAATAAATTATTCGAATCTGAATCTGATCCACTATCTGAACCTGAATCAAAAGATGCATGAAAACGTCGTCGACATGAATTAATTAGACGATTATTCATTTGAAGTATTCCATTAGCACTTGGTTGACGTCTATTACCACGTAAATGATCTGCACCAAATGAATGTAAAAGTCCACTACTTGGATCACGTTTATCAATTTTACGTCGATCATATATTCTGTTGGGAAAAAATATATGAAAAAAAATAGACATAGGTAATAAAAAGAGTTATGCAGTTTTGAGATGAATGGGGATTTTTTAATAATGTAGAAGTAGTATTCATCATGGACTGACATCAGTTGGGCGAACCATTGACAGTCTGGGAGCACTGGACAGCTCTTCCGTCCTAGTATGCGACTCCTCAGCACTACTCACCCACCAACCCACCACATATCAAACTCACCACATTCAGGTTTCATGGCAAACAACACAGACCATTCAGCCACTGGGTCGGTTTCCAGTGATTCACAATTTCCAACTTCTGTCAATTCACGACATAGCACGACTATCACTCAAAGTCTTCAGTTAGCATCCACTTCACTTCCGACTGGTTGACCTCACAGGTCATGGCTTCTCATTAGAGCATCGTGATATTCATCTGGAAGGAAGTCACTAATGAGCACTATAGAGTAATGTATTTTCGAGATGGATGGATGAAGTGAAGTGGATACTAACTGAAGACTTTGAGTGATAGTCGTGCTATGTCGTGAATTGACAGAAGTTGGAAATTGTGAATCACTGGAAACCAACCCAGTGGTTGAATGGTCTGGGTTGTTTGCCATGAAACCTGAAGGTGGTGAGTTCGATGTGTGGTGGGTTGGTGGGTGGGTACTGTTGAGGAGTCGCATACTAAGATGCAAGAGCTGTCCAGTGCTCCCAGACTGTCAATGGTTCGCCCAACTGATGTCAGTCCATGATGAATACTACTTCTAAAAAGAGTTATGGTTGTATTACTGTAGGCAAAATATTGGAGTATTTGGTTAGTCTGACAATAACAAAAGTGTATCACTTCAAGTTATTATATTTCATAACTGAATTCAAAACATAAGAAGCGAAGAGATGAAGCATGAGATTGTAGTAGACAAAAAATTTATCATAGATTAAAGAATAAATGGATAAAGCTTGATGAATTATAGTCAAGATGTTAAAGATGTCAAGGAATGACTTCAACGGCACCATTATGAACGGTTTGATCGATACCACTAAAAGTTTACAGCAATTGGAGACTCTAATCAAGCAGTCTACAACTTCCTACACAAGTCATACCAATCACAAAAGACTTTATACACTGATACTATAACTTTAATCTAACGATCACTATTAACTTTCATTCAAACCTATCCAACATCAGCCAACATTCCAAGTCGAGGTAAGCAGTGGTTCAGCATGCGACATAAATAGGCAGAATATCTCAGTCAGTGAAAACTCAGTAACCTGATTAACAAACTTTTATTTATTACTATTTATTGATATACTTGTAATTCTTCGTTGTTTAACCGGATCGAGTGGTTCAACCTCTATTGGCATCTGACCTCCTATGTGGATGCCTGGATATTGTCTGAATATTAATTATGGTAAGTCACTTGGATGCGGTTAGCAGAAGGATCCAGTATGCGCATTTCGTCCTATTTGAAGCTCGTCAACTGGATGTACCTGCACCCCAGTGCAGAGTGACTTGAGCTTCGTACTCATCGCTTCAAACAACAAGACGTTATCTACTAGGCCACGCAGGCACGATAGCCACCTCCTGTACAATGGGTATTAGTTATTCCTATTTATTGATATGTTTGTAATTCTCCGTTGTTTTACTGGATCGAATTGTACATGTGCATGCAGCTGACGAGTCTCAAATGGGACGAAGCGCATGACTTTTGTTTCTTATCTAGAACCGTAAGTCTATCTTGTACATTGCTCACATGCTGACTTCATCATGCATGATTAAAGGCTGTGAAGACACCTCTAGACAAAAGCCTGTAATCTCTTCATTTCTTTTATTGTCAACAGACATGTCTTACAGCAGTATAATAGGACTGTCGCTCAGTATACTCATCCTTGAAATAATACGAGTAATTTGGAAGGGTTTTTCATTTAAAATTTCGGTTACTTAAAAAACTGTCAAACACTATGAAACAAGTGATTCGGTAGAAAAAACATATCAACTTCACTTCCTTAATGAATTAAATTCACAAAATTGAAAAGATACAAGACTGGAGCACTTCAGTGTTACATTTTGGCGACGATTGTAATTGAGTATAGTTGAGAAATATTAAAGCTTAGACGGGAACAGTTACTTCAAGCATTCTTTTTAACTGACTAAAGTTTCTGGTGGTACAGCAAGGGTAACAAGAAAAATGCACCATACAGAATAATATAATACTATTTTGAAGACATAAAACAATGGGGGGGGGGGGATAACAAGAAAAAACACAATGAGAATAGAACGATTAGAAGAGCAGTCCAATAAGATACATTAAGAACAAAACATTCATTACTTTTGACTCTGAACCATAATCTGATAATGTTTGAAGCCACTGAGTTGCACGATCTCTAGAGCCCCTTCCCCAAGAAGTCGTGATGCACCACAGATGCTGATACAACCTCATACAACTATCCTTCATGCCATGAATAAAACTAAATCAATCTAGAATACGGGTAGGTTGAATGACGTAATACATGAAGTTTTGTCACTCAAGTGCTCAGAAATATAGCATTATGCGTTAAAAAAAAAAGCTCTTATTAATGCTGAATTCTACACAATGATGCAACAATTTTAGCAACCACACATTTGAATACAACGCAGAATGAAAGTCAATGGGAAAGAAAGAATTAACACCTCGTAGACTCTGTTTCACTCAACAGTGCGATAGCGTACCATCTGCTTGACAGATAACATTGAGATCCTTCATGTCATGAAATATGACAAAAGATTTAACGCCTACTTCAAATTGCTCAAGTCATTGTCGTTTCACGAATCCCGCCAAAATTATACATTCAAAAGGTGGTATCACCATGTGAGTAATGCAGAAGTCAGGAGTAGAGGTAAATCAGTTGATGAGGTTATGTAACTTCATCGATTGAGATGGTTGGGACACGTACTACGTATGCCTAGTCACCGATTGCCTCGTCACATCAGGTTGGCAGAAGTAGGTTCAGGCTGGGAAAAGGTCCGAGGTGACCAGACTAAAACATGACACCAATGTATGAAGTCTCTGACTGTTGGTTTGAGCCATGTAGGACGATGTAGACTAGGTGGTTGGGGTCCGCGGGACAAGAGGAACCAGTGGCTGGAGATTCTAGATGATATGGCTCAGAACCGATGTCAGTGGTGCAGATGTATACACACATTATCCTCATCTTAACACTATACCGATTCTCACCATTTTGTCATTTTGTCCTTTCTTTCTTCTTATACTTTATATTTCTTTTGACTGAATTTTCTTATATTCATCTTGCGCCTCACTGTCTTTCTACTTTATGTACTGATATGAGATGAAGTGTGGCAACTCGGACCGTTGCGCAGTGATGCCTCGTCTATGTTGATATTGATGATGATGACAAGACTACTAAGTTGCTTATCTTATATAACGCGTTTCTACTTTAACCCAATTAACAGAAGAAAGCACAGAAAGAAAGGAGCTGTGGCTCATTGGTTTAGAGAGATGACTTTCGAAAATGAGGCACTGGTTCAAATCACCATTCGTCTTCAAGCGATTAGGCAGCCACCATTATTTCATTAACCAGCTCTCACACAATACGTTTGGCTCATTGCCTACTACATGAATGAGCACAAGGTTGTTGAGTGTATTTCTGTCTAACTCGTTGTATGTTGAACTGAAATGTTTTTTTTTCACGTCTTGAAAACAGTAACTGCTATTATCCTACGGTATCCTAATAGTTGTTACAGTTATTATTTACTCATTTGATGAGATTGTATAGAGTCAAAGAAAATAAAATGACGTTATCTTGTAAATACGGTTCACATTATATGTTCAAGTTCACTAGGAAGAACAAATTATTGAAAAACTGCATCAATAAACTAGAGGGTAGATAATAAAAGCGTATAAGGGAACCATAGGATACGATGCAGACTGGATTATCAAAATCAATCCTATACATACTAAGTTAAAAAATTTACAAAAAACTAAGTATAGTGTCCATAGGTATGGTATGCGACCTGCACCACTGAAGTGCAAAGTACTCTTTCAAGATCGGCAGGAGCCTATCCCTGAGTTCAATATTGGAAGTAGACGAAAGGTTCATGCATGTAAGTTGTTATGTGAGTGCCAGTGAAGGTGTGAGTGGTGAAACTTCCAACCGTATTTCCGAATCCAGAGTAGCATACGTCAATTTAGGCAACCATTAGCGTTATCGCCACGTTAGTTTGACAGTGAAACGTCAGGTTCGCAACGCTTCAGTCCGAGCAGTTCTGCTCGATATCTGTAAAACCTAACCTCTCAAACCTCACAATGTCAGACAACTCTCTGTGTATACCATCATCATCGTCCTCAATCAACGATTACTCATAAACCGAGGCAACATCATATAAGTAACTCTGAAGTATCACTACGTGTGTTTCCACATGATGGAGATCCTCAGTCAATAACTCAAGTAATAGGGAAACATCACCTTCAACAACTTCGACATGTGTCACACATGTCATCCCAACACCTTCCATGACCTTCATTCTTTAACAGACCTGAAACTGGATGGAAGAAGAAGCGGAGAAGTGATCAGTGCATCATATGGAACCGTAGGATGAAGGATAGTTGTATCCAATTACAATCGGTTGGTGCATTATACAACTTCCTACGTTGCATTCAAGACATCACGCAACTCACTGGTTTCAGACGTTATCACATATGGTTCACAATAGAAACTGGTGGCAGTCATCATGTAGCTTCCTCTCATCTTCTGTTGTTGAAAGGTGATCAATGATTTCTTCTGAATGTATCTGATTGGACTGGCCTTCTAATCATTCTATTCTTATTCTGTTTTTTCTTGTTATCCACCTCCCTTCCTTTTATGTCTTCAAAATAGTGTTATATTATTCTGTATGGCGCATTTCTTGGTGCGCTGTAATTTCATGAAATACTGTTTACTATACTAACAATAGGGTTTATTATGAATATGAAGCAGTTTTTAACAATTACTCCGCCTATTTTGAATATGATAACCTGGATAGACAATATATTTTATAAGGGATAGCTGTATACTTCGCCAATCATAGACGACAACGCAGAATTACACGCTTGATTTGGAATAATTTCATACATTGTCTATACTCGGTAACCACGTGTTACAAGAAAATAAGCCCTCTAAAACCCAATTTATATGTAATTTTTTGCTCTCCAGGAAACAAACAATCACACTAATGACTAAATTAGTGAGTGGTGCATGTTCGAATCTCCGACAGGACATCACTTCTCTCGAGATCGAAAGATATGCCCTAGTAACGAATGGTAACAAGTGTTAAACCCAGGTTCAGAGGATCCTGCGACTACCTCCAAGCATCTAACAATATATCAGGTCTTAAGACGTCAATAGATTAGAGATTACGCTTGAACCAAGTCCAAACTGTCGCCGAGTATCCCATCATAAATAAATACACATATGCCCTTTTTTATAAATTATACTGAATGACAAAGCATAAACGTATTCTTTCAGGGAAATTTACGCATTTAAAACTTCTGAAGATGATGACAATGATTACAGTGTCGTAGAATGACTGTTTTAAGTATAATCTGAACTCAGGTTGAGTATCTTCATGTGCAGATTGTGGCGTAAAAGAGTATGGAGAAAGACAGACAGACAGACAGACACAAAACAAACGTAGAAGGGCTTCAGTGGTAATTTGAAAAGAATTTAACATACCATGAATAACAGATGCTGAATATGTAACATTTTGTTGAACTTTAATGGCTTAGTGGAATTGAAAAGTGACATTTTCATCCTAGATGTTAGGAATTAATTAGCCGTAGGCTTTGCTTCATGTAGGTTTCGTATGTTACCGCTCATCAGCAAAGCAAGTTTGTAGCCACTGAGAAACTAATGATCTTTCGGTGATTAAAAACCTGCGTTATTCAATGACGAAGTTGGAGACATTTCCACCAAGCTATTGAAACAATAACTGTCACTATGCAGAATTGGAATACACAGATAAATCAGTCACCGAATGATAGCTAGTGTGCGTGTGTGTGTATGTGCCAACATCTTATTACTGACGGAAGAATAGGAAAGATTTATGGCTCAGAATGAGGATGATAAATGTTTGGTGTCCACCGGGCATTGATGTTTTTCTGTGGATATTTCATCACCAAGCTAGGTGACTCTCCTGGAGCTTTACAAAGAAGTTAAGCTGCAACGCACAGACGATGATCCCTTACTTGATGTTGAAATGTTTCATGACTTAAATTTCACTTTGTAGGAAAACTCAATTTGAACAATCATACCCTATAAATTATAAACACTCTTCACAATAACTCAGTGGACTACATATATTGCATCGTTTTTGAAAGACAGTAGATTTACCAACACGCAAACTCATTTTGCTGTCATACTCATAAACAAAAGATTGTGAGATAAACATCAAAAGCTTGACTACTTTGACCTAGATTCAAAAAATTTACAACTTTCGTCTAAAAATGACTTCAGTTTTCAAAAATTGTGTAAAGCTTTAAGAATGTGGCTATGAGCAATACTTATTTAGTGGTTAACACTAGTTGTGTCAAGACTAAAGTAGGCGGGGCAGAATTCGAACCTAAATCCTGTCACTTGATAGTCGAGTGCTCAAGTGAATTTCCCACAAGCCTCCGTCCGACCCCCATCCCTATATATTTGAGACAGTAGGATCTAGGTTATACTAAATATCGGTAGTGAAGTCCGTATCTCAAGTTCTATCCTACTAAAAATGTATGAATTCCTAATGCTACTGAAATGCTATTGTAGTAGGCGTTGCTGATCAGAATGGATTTAAGTAGTATAGGTAGAGAGGGCGGTATAAATCATAGACAATTACCAGCAATGGGTAAGGATTCTGCTCAAAGAAACGTAAGAGACAACTTAGGCATATCAAAAGCGAACCAAGAGAGAAGGACAAAAAAAAACGAAGCATATTTTGCAAATGACTGTCTTAGTACAAGGTGTACCATATTTAACGACTACTGTACCACATGTTTATTACACAACATTCCTTCCTACGTCTTTATATTCTCGTTCCCTTCACTATGACATACGGTAACATTATAAGATAATAAGAGAGTTTATTTTATTTGTTGCAAATAAAAAAAATACTCACCGCACAATTGATTCAGATCTGCCGCATAATGCAAATTCATACGACCGTATAGGGTTTGAAGAAATGGAGAAAAATTCAGAAAATGGTAACCACAGTAACCTATAATGAACATGAACATTATTATTATTATTGCATTTTTGAGATGAATGGGGATTTTTTAATAATGTAGAAGTAGTATTCATCATGGACTGACATCAGTTGGGCGAACCATTGACAGTCTGGGAGCACTGGACAGCTCTTCCGTCCTAGTATGCGACTCCTCAGCACTACTCACCCACCAACCCACCACATATCAAACTCACCACATTCAGGTTTCATGGCAAACAACACAGACCATTCAGCCACTGGGTTGGTTTCCAGTGATTCACAATTTCCAACTTCTGTCAATTCACGACATAGCACGACTATCACTCAAAGTCTTCAGTTAGCATCCACTTCACTTCCGACTGGTTGACCTCACAGGTCATGGCTTCTCATTAGAGCATCGTGATATTCATCTGGAAGGAAGTCACTAATGAGCACTATAGAGTAATGTATTTTCGAGATGGATGGATGAAGTGAAGTGGATACTAACTGAAGACTTTGAGTGATAGTCGTGCTATGTCGTGAATTGACAGAAGTTGGAAATTGTGAATCACTGGAAACCGACCCAGTGGCTGAATGGTCTGTGTTGTTTGCCATGAAACCTGAAGGTGGTGAGTTCGATATGTGGTGGGTTGGTGGGTGAGTAGTGCTGAGGAGTCGCATACTAGGACGGAAGAGCTGTCCAGTGCTCCCAGACTGTCAATGGTTCCCCCAACTGATGTCAGTCCATGATGAATACTACTTCATTATTATTATTATTACTGATGAGTACATATTAGGTCGCTTCATAAAATTATGAAATGGAAAGAAAAAATAATCTGCAATTGTAACAATAAGTAGATCAATGCACATATACATGAGTATAGTTACTCCGTTAAAGAGAAAATGTGAATATGGCTAAAGATGAGAATCTACACTTCTCTAGAACAAAATAGTTTGAAATCACACAGGTATACATTACATTGGTGATAAAAAAAAACGAACTATTTTACAGTGTAAAAACAAAGAAGAGTGTTGTCGATACCAACCTTTTTCTGGTTAAAGACAGTAGAAATTCACTTGCTGAATAACATAGAAGTCAAATCATAGAAGCTCTACAATTTACTTTCTATTTTAGTACACTATGCACAAATAAACCTTCAATTTAAGAGAAATAAAACAATGAAATCTATACAGACAAAAAAAGTTGACAATAAGTGAGTTAAAAAAAATCTATGGCTCATTTATATGGAAGGTTGATATTTGATGAATGAGTTGTGGATTCGAACCCGAATTCACTAGGCAAAATTTCAGTAACCAGATAATATTACTAAACTTTATACAATAAGTGTGGTTCATTACGTAATGCATGGAAATGCATATAGTTGCTGAGAATTAAGTTGTTTAATTATGCTTTGAGAATATATATCGCATGAACAGGTAGACATATAAAAGTAGAACCTCGTACAAAAGTGAATCGGTTAAATGTGTTATACTTTAAAGAAGTATGAAGAGAAACAGACAGAAAAAAGGATATGAAAAGATGAGGGATTTGAAAATTAAAGATGGAGAAGTGTTCACATCTGTGTCACAGTGATTACTATCTTATCTAGGGATGACAGATACGAAGCCTAAAAAGTGAAACCCAACAGTCAAAAACTAGATGAACTGGTGTCAGGGTTTTTTTTTCCGACTCACTCCTTCCTGTCCCCTAACTTTATACTAGTTCGGTTAATATCGCAAGTAAAAACTAAATTTTCGGATAACAAAGAGGCTTCAGTGAAAGTGGTACTTTACAGTGTCATTCAGTAACCATGTTTACACCCTTCTATTTCATTCCCCAATTAATGTTATATGGTTTTCGCATCCAACTGCGCATGCCGACCCACCACCTACCTTGACGTACAATCCTTACCAAAGTTGGATTTGGTTGAAAAAAAGCTCAGAGTGGCTAGATCAAGAATCAGCACCAGTCCACGAAGTCCATGATTTCTGATCTTTGCCGTGTATAGAGAAATGAATAACCTGGTTCAAGACACCCAGACCGTAAGAAAGAATGGCTGTAAACTCTTGATAACCTGGTTGAAAGCTGGTCATAATGGCGTCTTCCAAAAGCTTGAATATTTTCAATGACTTTCATCCTCTAATTCTTTAACATCCTATCCATTCTTGTCGACAATGGTATCAGTCACTTACTATCGTCATATTCATTGCATGCTACTGTGAGTTATTGCAACTTGAACTGATACACTTCTGTGTGAGGTTATTCGCTGTTTCCACATGTCTGTTTCGCATCCCTGATTTATGATAGTCCCTTTAACTGTGTTTAATCCGCGTTTCCATGCATGTGCCCTTGAAGTACAAAGTACTTTCGTGAAAATGACACGAGCCTGTGCTGACTCTTGGTGGCGAGCCGTTGGAAGAACCCGAAAAGTTCATGTATTTAGGTAGTTATGTGAGTGCCAGTGAAGGTGTGAGTGGTGAAACTTCCAACCGTATTTCCGAATCCAGAGTAGCATACGTCAATTTAGGCAACCATTAGCGTTATCGCCACGTTAGTTTGACAGTGAAACGTCAGGTTCGCAACGCTTCAGTCCGAGCAGTTCTGCTCGATATCTGTAAAACCTAACCTCTCAAACCTCACAATGTCAGACAACTCTCTGTGTATACCATCATCATCGTCCTCAATCAACGATTACTCATAAACCGAGGCAACATCATATAAGTAACTCTGAAGTATCACTACGTGTGTTTCCACATGATGGAGATCCTCAGTCAATAACTCAAGTAATAGGGAAACATCACCTTCAACAACTTCGACATGTGTCACACATGTCATCCCAACACCTTCCATGACCTTCATTCTTTAACAGACCTGAAACTGGATGGAAGAAGAAGTGGAGAAGTGATCAGTGCATCATATGGAACCGTAGGATGAAGGATAGTTGTATCCAATTACAATCGGTTGGTGCATTATACAACTTCCTACGTTGCATTCAAGACATCACGCAACTCACTGGTTTCAGACGTTATCACATATGGTTCACAATAGAAACTGGTGGCAGTCATCATGTAGCTTCCTCTCATCTTCTGTTGTTGAAAGGTGATCAATGTTTTGTTCTGAATGTATTTGATTGGACTGGCCTTCTAATCATTCTATTCCTATTGTTTTTTCTTTCTCACTCATTCACTTCCCATCGTTTACGTCTTCGCATTGTTATTATATTATTTTGTGTGGCGCATTTTTTGATGCCCCCTGTGTAATATGTTTGTGTCCCAGTAATAATAATAATAAACTCAAGGGTAATCTTGTCCAACTTATTTTTATTTCTTGTTGTTATGATACTTGTGATTTTCCGTTGCTATACAGGCTTGAAGGCAGACATTCATCAACACCTACCGTCTACACTCACTCGATACCGAAGATCAGATGACCAGAAAGAATAAGCGACATAGAACTCACTTTGGTTGGCAACGAACCAACCAACAACCTATTGCTCAACAAATACGCAGAAGAAAGTGGAGATGGATTGAGCATACACTGAGAAAGCCAACTGGGGATAGCACGCGCCACGCACTCAAGTGGAATCCAAAGAGGAAACGACGAGTTGAGCGTCCCAGCTGAGGATGATATAGAGAAGATCATGTGAGGAAGAAATGAAAGCTTCTGGGAAGACATAGAGCGAGGTTCAAAAGACTGCAGAGAAGAGAGTGGAACAGAGGCGTGCTACTGAAGCCCTATGTTCTAATAGGAACCCAAGGGAAAATAATATTAGTAATAATAATAATAGAGGGTCGAATCGCCCGATCTCTGTTCATGTATGGGGTGCAATGCGGATGCTTCGATACTACCGGATATTCGTGATGTATTCATCATCAAGGTGACTGAAAGAAAAAGAGGTGGCCTCCATGCCCCAGTGGATAACACTTTGGCATTCAAAGCGATGGGTACTAGGTTAGAGTTTCAGTGGGAACAACATCACTCCGCACTGGGAGGCAAGTTTATCCAAATGACGAGTCCGCCCAACATGAAGTCAACTATGAAAATTCATTCCAAATAATTAGTAAGTAAAGGTGATTGACATGTCCCGAAATTTATATAGGCTATTGACACATTCTAAAGGTTAAAGCCCTACACACATTATGTGTTCACATGATGATGGTAACAATGAAGTTGTTTTCTGCATTTACCAGGTGGTCATAATCGATTACAAGTTCTAAGATAGCTCTGTTAGGTCTTCTCCCTTCTCCACTATAAAATTAGGTTGATATATGTTCAGAAATGTGTTTGGAATGTGAACGTTGAATACGGTCAATATACATTACTTCACAGGAACAGATGAATTGATAAACATACACCAAGGTAACGCCAAGGGAGATAGCTTATCCTTTACGCATAATCGAAATATTTGGTAAGTAGAGAAAGTTGATATGAATTTGACAGTATAGAAAGTTTTTCTCAATGAGTATATCAGATAATTTCTCAATATATCTGATGTGTCTCCGTTGAACTGTAAGCTTATGAAACGAGTCTTCTTAGGAACTGTAAAAATGGAATGCTTATTGGCTTTCAGTTTTATAATCTTAGCAATGAAACGCTATGGGTTTTCAATCAAAATATATCAGGACCGCAGATAGTATGAATCCTATGGAACATAGAGCTTTCATCATCTAGTGTAATCATTTTTCTTGACTTCAGTATTTGTCAATGATCAGCCTAAAATCTCTGTAAAATTGCCAACTCCTTTCATTATATTGTAGTGGACTTTTCCACTTCTATATCTAACCCAATTGTCATATTCTATGGGTGGATTGTACGTTTTTCAACCATAAAGTCCGTTGATATTCTAATCCTTTATTAATAATATAATTTTGAATAGCTCGTTAAAAAAAAAGGGTACTCACCAAATCTATACAGGTCCATAACTATTGTGTGATGGCTTATAATACTATCTGACTATCCGGACCTCGGTAGGTGGAGCGGGGTTCAAACACCTTGACTCATTGGTTGGTAAGTCAAATGTCAAGAGTGAAATAAACCCAGCTTAACTTGTATAGTTTGTAAGTCTAGCTGAGGAGAAACCAACAATGGCATCATACTCGAGAAAAATTCATACATTTTGCTCTTTTGAAATTTATGAAAGCGACTAATTATATGGAATTATAAATAACTGATTGTGATGACTTGCTGCTTTTCAACGGTTGTTGAATATCTGGATGTTTGTGGAGATTTATTCATTGATTTTAGGTTAGGACTCATCATCACCAGTTGTAGGAACATTGGAAACCTGGGAGCACTGGACACCTGTTTCGTCCCAGTGTGGGACTTCTCAGTCACCGATTGCCTCATCACACAATGTTGGCTGAGGTGGGTCCAGGCTGGAAAAAGGCCCGAGGTGGACAGACTAAAACATGGCACCAATGTATGAGGTCTTCGACTGTTGGTTTAAGCCATGTAGGACGATGCAGACTAGGTGGTTGGGGTCCACGGGACAAGAGGAACCAGTGGTTGGAGACCCTAGGTGATATGGCTCAGAACCGATGTCAGTGGTGCAGATGTATACACACACTATCCACATCTTAACAACGCTATACCGAATCTCACCATTTTGTCACTCCTCTTTCCTTTCTTCTCGTACTTTATATTTCTTTTGACTGCATTTACTTATCTTCATCCTTCACCTCACTACCTTTTTACTTGATGTGCTGATATGAGGTGTGGCAACTCGGACCGTTACGCAGTAATGCCTGGTCCTATGTTGATAATGATGATGATGTGGGACTCCTCAGCAGTGCACACCCATGATCCCGCCTCGCTATGGATCGAACCTATAGCCACCAAATTACCATTCAACCACTGGGCCGGAATCCAATCGTCAACATTTCCTAATTCTGCCAGTTCACGATACAGCGCGACCTACATCCAATGTCGCCGTTGAGTAACTGTCCTGGTGAGGAATTCTATACTAGGACGAAACAGCTGGCTATCCAATGCTCCCAGGTTTCTAATGTTCTCCCAACTGATGTTAGTACATGATGAATTCCAACCTAAATCAGTTAATGAATCTTCACAAAACTCCAGATAAAAATTAATCTAGCGCTCATTGGTGACTAGCTTCGAGAGGTGATTCTTGAAGTTTCAATGAGTTGTAACCAATGGAATCGACCAAATCGAACATGAAGACAGTTATTCAACAACAACACTGGATGTAGGTGACACTATATAGTGAACTGACAGAAGTAGGAAATATAGACTATTGGATTCTGACACAATGGCTTAGTGGTAAATGTCGTGACCACAAAACCTCAAGGCCCTGGGTTCGATCTGTAGAGGGGTGAGGTCATGGGTGCGCACTGATGAGGAGCATCACACTAGGTTACTGAATAGTTAGCAAATTTCAAATTGTCGCATCACAGCAGTAGAAATTATGAAACATACACGGAAAAATGTAATCAGTAAACCGATAATGATTATCAAGTAATCAACCACCCATCGCAAGTTTTTTTCATAAATGTATACAGTAATTTCATCAGTGCATATAGTCTTTGATTCTTGATTTAATTCGTGTAGGCAGATGTAGACTTTCTGATTACGGTCCTTAGGCCAACAGGAACCTAATGTTTGGCTTAAAATCGATCACAGCAGAATAGATGTATCTAGTGCACAACATCTTCGAAAGTTTGACAACAACTTGAACCGATACAAAACGAGATGCACTCAGCCACTTTGTGCAAATCCATGCAATAGGCAATGGAGTCATACCTAATGTGTGAGGACTCTACCTTAGAAGATGGAGCGGGGTTCGAACCCATGACCCAACAGTTGATTGTCACCTCCCCATACCGATGAGTCAAAGCTCCATTTGAAGCGATGAAGATTCTCCTTTGATTTTTATTGTTTGTTTTACAACAGCTGTTTACCTTTATTGCATTCAAGTGTTTACAAAGGGGCATAATGAAAAAAACTACATATATGGTTTTGGTATATATTTACAAAACATTTAGTATTACTGCTTGTATTATCCCGTCGTCGATTGGACCGAATCGATCGGTCTCTATTGGCATATGGTCTCCTGTGCGGATGCCTCGATATTATGTCTTTCAATTATAGTAATGATGGATAGTGGCTAGCAGTAGAATCCAGAAGATGCTTATTTCGTCCTACTCGGGACTCGTCAGCTGAATGCACCTGCTTCCCAGTGAGTGATGTTGTTCCCACCGGGATTCGGACTCGGAACCGATCGCTCCAAACTCGAGAGCGTCATCCGCTACGCCACCGAGACACGATCGCCACTTCTTGTAAGACGAGTATAGTTTTAGTATTATTGCTTTTATTATACCGTCGTCGACTGGACTGAATTGATCGGTCTCTATTGGCATATGGGCTCCTGTATCGATGAGGAGTGGTCCATCAACTACGAAAATTTTCATTGGCAATACTGATATTAGTTGACACAAAGCAGTAGTTTCCCTCATCAACTAAAAATCAACCAGATGGTATATTTAAGACTCTAATAATTAAACACTAAGCAATTCTTTCAGTCTAATGACCCACACTTAAGACGTTTGAGTGTGTTGCTTAGATTGAAGTGGGACTCGAACCTAGAAATTTCAGAAAATGAAACCATCAAACACCAACTCTAGGATATTTTTCATGTATAGAGGCTTCATACTATATCAGATACTAATGTTTGATAAATAGCTGTGGAGTATTTCATGATTTTTCGACTATGAAATAAAACGTCATCAATTCTCAATCAATACACAAAAGAATACATCTGTCTCAAATGATATAAGGAAGGAAAATCTTTTACGACTAACATCAGAAGATCATCTCAAGTATGGAGTGTTTTTTGTATATAAATTTAATGAAAAAAAACATTACTTGTGACTCTTTGGAATTCTTAAATCTGTTGAGAATACTTGTCCATCTGCACCAGCTGATAGAACAATATTCGGTTCATCATTAGGGATAGATAATTTATGGCAACCTCGACTATGCTTCACTAACAATCGTGTAGGACAGGCTAAACCACCTGAAGGTGAAAGTTGAGCTAATCTGACTTCTGAATCACAAGCACAAGAGACAATTTGTAAGTCATTTGATTCTGGTACAAATTTCACCTGTAACGTGCACATGGAAACAACAACAAAAATTACATTCATTTATCTATGATATAGTTAAAAGTTTGTTCAATAATCCAAGTATATACTGTCGGTAATCATGATCTAATTAAAACAGGTTAACAAATTTGAATCAGGCAAGAAGATATGCAGAAGATGGTGAAGAATAAAATCAACTCATCCTTATTTCACTGCCTTTCATCATCGATATCAACATAGGAAGACTAGGCATTACTGCGTAACGGTTCAACTCGCCACATCTCATCTCATATCAGTACATCAAGTAAAAAGGCAGCGAAGTGCAAGACGAAGATGAGAAAACTTATCAGCTGACAACACCTTACAATTGATACAAAGTACTAATGGTAATAACGATATAATAACATACCTTTAATATGTAGAAATAAAGATCAGAAATTCAGGATTAACAATAAGGTAACATAGAAATAATAATCAAAAACCTTAGTCAAAATCAATTGTGATTTATATTTGATGAGATAGAAAATTGTGAATCTCTGGAAAGGTGGAGGAGGTGAACAATAAACACACAAAAGTGTAAAAGAAGGGATGGCTAAAGAGCTAGTAGGTTATCTAATTACATAACAAAATAATGACCACTAACGCCATATGAAGCTTACATGACAAGATGCCGGATACCGACAGACCTCAAAAAGCAGACTTGATGTCCTCACTGTGACCATCGTCAATTACATTGAAATGAGTAGAACTTGTAATCTTTATTAACTTCCCCTTTCAGTAACCAACTAGGAGACGATTTTTAGTAGGTGGTCAAAGAGTTCACATAGTCCGTTCTAAATAGCTGACTGAACAGGTGCAGTTGAATCTACGGATGCATACTCATATGGTGAAATGAGAAGTTCTATCTTTCAGACGTGGTAAGCGTCAATATCAGAGTAGCTGCAGGATATATCTTCTTCAACAAGTACTGAAATCTGTTTGGAGTGATTTTAGCTAGATTGTTAACCTTAAGCTGCAAGTTGATGAGTATTTACTTCTTGTCAAAGTTGGAGACGACTGATTTATCTGTCCTTCTTAATGAATTTGTCAGAGTATGCATTCCGTCTGAATAGGTTCATCAAATCTTGTAACTATCTATCAATCGAAACATTAGAGTGAGTTGTCCTCATCCTTTCAAACCGATATCAAACTATCCTCTTTTTCTGTCATAATGGGATAAAACTCTGTAAGTGTGCTGCATATTGTCTACTTCAAGATGGTTTATAGTAAGTGACCTTGACGATTTCTCTTCCATTTAGTTTTGTTGGGAGGAAATCTAAGAAAGAAATTCTACTCGAAGTTTCCACTTCATAGGAGACTACTATCCTTGGATATGATCTGTTAAAATTCATTAGGAATTCATCTTCTGATCGCAAACATCTTCAATCAGTGTTATTCATTTAGTTCCCTTGACAAATTTGAATCATACAAGAACAAAGATGCTTGGAAAATAAAATGGACTCATTTTATTTCATGGCCTGTCATCAGCTGTAAACAGCCAACAGTTGATATGAAGTATTACTGGTAATAATGACACAACATACTTTAAATACGTAGAAATAAATAGAGATTTGAAATCCAAAATTAACAATAAGGTAGTGAGTGAGTCAAGGCAACACAGGGATTATAATTACGATTTGTATCTGATGAGATAGAAAATTCCAAATCAATGGAAAGGTAAGTAGGGACAAAAAACAGACAGGGGTGTCGAAGAAAGGATGGCTAAAGAGCAAGTAGGTTGAGTAATCGTTAAGTAACTGACAGTAATTAATGAAGAAATGATGCCACCGAAAGAAAAGGGAAGACTATACATTTCGTTACCAAGGTAAAGACAGGGTTAATTACAGTCTCCTTCTGAGTACGAAACGAAAGCTTCCGCAAACCGTAATAAACATGGTGTTCTTTGTTGATTATCCTGAAAGATTGAGAAACATATATTTTACGTACTGTTCCTATTAGGTGTCTGGCAATTGTATCGGTAAAGACGTTGCTTCCTTATATTCTGTAATTCTACTAACAAGTTTTCACTTGCCTCAAGCTTTTTAACTTTCATATTAATTTATGTTGTTGCTTTTATGAGCATGTCAATGAGTCGACCGAACTGACTGGTCCCTACTTGGATATAGGCTCATGTGTGGATGCCTCGATATTACCTATGTTTCTATTATTTATTAATGATGTAAAGTGGCTAGCAGTGGAATCATATTTGGGACTCGTCAGCTGCGTGTACCTGCCTCCCAGTGAGCGATGTTGTTCCCACCAGGACTCGAACCAGGGACCGATCGGTCTATCAATAATACATAATTCAAACACAGGCAATATCAAGGCATCCGCTAAGGAGCCCATATGTCAATAGAGACCGGTCAACTTAGTCCACCTAACGACGGGCTCATATACAAGCAACAACATTAATTAACATGAAAGTTAAAAAGCAAGTGGAAACATATAATCAGAATTATGTGATAAAAAGGAGGCGGTAAACTAAGGTGACAGATGATAAGAGTTGAAGAGGGGGGAGGGACCTACGTTACCAAATTCTAGTCCAATACGCAAAATCTGAAATAAATTGAAGTTAGGCATTAATTTACTCTAACGGTCAAGGTAATGACAGAGGTTGTACTAACTTTATTTCAATACAAAGATTCGGTTTGTAGGGATGTATAGCAACAGTTTCTACCGTGTGTGGCAAGTGAATATATATACTATATTGAAGACTAAATGGACTTGTCTAATTGTACGCCCTAAGTGACTAGCACCACAGGTGATAAATGCACATAGAAAAAGCAGAATCACGGAGTATATCTTTATACCCTGGATCTTTGGCTTAACTTCCGATTCCTTCGTGTGCTTCGTCACAAATTTGGTAGGATAACCATTCTAACCAAAATAAGCTACATATAATGTCACCTTCCTCTTCTACAATGTCATCAGAGCAAATGACTTTTGTATGCAGTACAAAGTACTTAATCAGGTTATGCTTATCTTTCAACGGTACAGAGATAATATAAAAGTGAGTGTACTGACTAGTTGATATTGGCTTTCTGTATGAGCTCCATTTCATTGTTTCATCTGGTCTTACTAATAAGCAGACACCTAGAAAAGAGATGACCAGGCGAACGTTATTGATGGTTCGTTGTTTTAGGAAGTTGACTATCTTTCAAACAGTGGACCATGGGTTCCAAACCAGCTCCACCTATAGAGTTTTGAGCAACCAATCCATATAGTTGCTGAGTGCAGTTCAATTCCATCAGACTAACATTCAGCACCTGTCAGAATTTATCTGATCTTTGTGTTGAATTCAATAACCACCAAGATTTTGAGATTCAATCTACTGATGAATCTAAAATGATGGTTGCTACAACCAACAAGTGTGAGGCGTTGTATTTAGCTGAGAAACACCTTTTTCCAAATAATTAAGCAAATAATTACCACTGAGTTTCATCGGAATGAGCTATTTTATTCTGAAAATTGTCTGATACATTTATTATTATTGTTACTATTATGCTGATTATTACTAATATTATTATTTTTCCTTTGGGTCCCTAGTGAGACATAAAGGTTTCCAGCAGCACTTCGCCATTTCACTCTCTTCTCTCTGCAGTGTTTTCAAGCTGGCTTCACCACTCAATAGGAGTTCTCATTTCTTATTCACATGATCTCCCCCATGTCACACTCACACGCACAATTCCCCATTTCCCATCCGCGTCCCACTCGACAGTCCGCTCACACGTCTGGCACATAATGTACCCAGTCGGTCTCCTCACTGTATGCTCACTTCACTTCAATCAAATCAAATCAAATCCATCTCCACTTTCCCCTGTATACTCCTTTGACGATACCTTATTGCTTGGCCCGTTGCCACCCACAGGCACTTCTTTGTTGCTTGTTCTTCTTATTCTGGTCATCTATCTCATCCTCAGTATCCAGTGATCGTAGGTGGCAGCAACTCTTGGTGTATGTCTGTAGTTTATTGGAAATGCTTTCCGTAACACGCTGCCAAGTCTCTCAACCATCACAAAGAAGTACTGACTTACTTCACATTAGTGTTGAAAATCCGCATCTTGTTCCACATGCTGAGTGCAGTAGATCTCCACACTGATTTCAGGTTAATGAAGGCCTGTCTTGCTGTCTTTCCGATGCTGGCTGCTTTGACATCCTCATCTGTGTCGCCGTCTATAGTTGAAACGATGCTGCCTTTCCTAGGTAGGTGAAAGAATTCTCCCGTTGATAGTGATTGATACTTATTGTTGTTGTTGTTGACTGGGTATCTTCATCACCAACGTCTTCTCTACGTTCACCATGAAGTCCTGTCTTCGTCCGCTGCCTCGCCTCTTCTGCGAACTTGTTAGTTCTCGCCTGTAGATCTTCGAGTTTGTACGACAGTAGATATAAATCATCATAGATAAAATCCAAATCTTCTTCTAGGGTCTTTTTATCAATCCAGCCAGCGTATGCCCATCTTCTCGCTCTTCACAGTTTGTTGCATGATACATTTGAAGCATGATGAAAAAAATTGTGTCTAATCATACAAAACATCTATATTGCTAGTTTCAAGAACAAAATCAGAAGGCATTATCCGACCTAGTCAGTAATATTTTTAATTGATTGTCATCAGAAAAATAGATAAGAAAAATTGTGTATTACACAAAAAGAATGAACTACAAGCGTCCTCATCATCTTAAGGAATAATGATTTCAGCTTTGAAGATGAACTGATTTCTCAGGATTACACTATAAAAGTGTCAAAATTATGAATTCATTCTCTGGCTGAATCTTTATTGTGTTTTCAGAGTATAATAGTATTTATAGTAATGATGGGCAGTGGAATCCAGGACGAGCATTTCGTCAAGTGCAGTACATGCCTAAGCCATCTCAATCAGTAACGGTTCACAACTTCATCAATCGAGATGCCTATCTTGCCTACTAACCTCCACCTGACTTCAATATTGTTCAAAAGGTGATTACACCAAACATAAGCAATGT